CTTATGCAAGCTTCACCTTGCGATATTGCGGTAATAACGAAACCATCAATTAACGGCAATTTATTTAATAATATGAATTTTGGACGGGATATGTATATCTCCACGATTTTGAGGAAAAATGTCGTTTTTGCAAAATTCTAAATTGTGAAATGGGTGGCGTCTCAAGGCTAGAAAGTTATTTGGGTATTGTTTGTCGGGTTTGCATCCTTGGACTCTTTGGGTTTTGTGCATAGAAAAATTAGTTATTTTAGAATTTTCTCACATTTGAGACTTCTAATTTGGTACGTGCTGAGAAAACGAGTAGATCTGCCTTGAACTTTATTACAATGTTGTGGTATTTAGTCATGAAGTAAGAGACAATTAAAAATAACTTTTGATCTTGTATTTATGTCGATTTCAGTTTTAATTTAGTAAATACTTTCAAAAGTTTTAAAGATCACTATTGAAAAATGATTTATTTATTGTGTGAAATATGAAGATTTTACAAAAAGATTTGAAACAATAGAGTTGATCAAAATCTGGTCTTTTTCTCAAAATTTTATTGAAGAAAACTTCAAAATATAAGTGGAGATTTTTTAAAGTGTTACTCCAAAGTTCTTCAAGTTCACTTTTAAGAAGTGTTTTACTGGTGTCTAGCATTTATTTTCTATTATCTTAATCACAAGGGGCATTTAGAATAAAAGAGAAAAACGATTAAAAAAACAAAACAATGTTGGTAAAAAAATTCCGTTTTTTCCAAAATTTCATTCTTAAATCTCCAACCCTTGAAGAATATCTAGGTATTTTAATTAATTTAAACTTTATTTTTAGTTTATAAAACTCAAACATGTGATAATTGAATTTCTACAAAATTAGACATAAACATTACTTATAATAATAAAATTTCTTAAATTATTCAGATTTTCAAAAACCCAATACTTGGAACCAAACATTTAAATAAAATTAATAATGAAAATGTAAAGAGAACTAAAAAAATGTAACAATAGATATTTAGTATACAAGACGATAAAAAAATTGTTTTTTCACGAGTAGATAAACAATCTTTATCGTCATGTGTCATATTTCGCTTTATTTTGTAGGTACTCATCTATCAGAATTTTTTAAACAGTAGATAAAAATTACTTTATTTCACAAGACGATAAAAGACTACTTTATCTACTGAAATTAGTCGATAAAAGCACTCTTTAACATTGAGTACAAAATAATAGTTATTTATTATACAAGACGATAAAAAAATTGTTTAGCTACGAGTGAAAGGGTTAAGTTTACGAGTGACGAAGTCACGAATGGACTTTTTTCACAAGTAGATAAACAATCTTTATCACCGTGTACAATATTTCGTTTTATTTTGTACTCATCTGCCAGAATTTTTTGAATATTTAAACAGTAGATAAAAATTACTTTATCTCACTATACGATAAAGGACTACTTTATTTACTGAAATTAGTTGATAAAAGCACTCTTTAACATTGAGTACAAAATGAAAGTAATAATGGCACATCGAGCTTTCATCATTTACAACAATTTGCAATTAACTTTTTTTCTATTGCTTTCAATTATTGAAGAAAAATGACAGAATTTGGGGTGAATTTTGTTTCTTCTTTATTTTATATATTTATATATCTTTTAGTCATTTAGAATAGACATTAAATCTTAAATAAAATCTTAAATAAAAATTATCTTGGTACATAATATCAACATTGGCAAGAATTCCCACCAAAAATTAATAAACCTTTAAAATGTTTTTTTCTAAATAAGCCTAAAACTGTCACAACTTGAAATTTCATTTCAAATTTTGTTAATTACTTTGGGCCGCGACAACAATAAAAAAATAAATAGGGATAAATCTTTTGATTATTATGATTCATCATGATTTGCTAATAAAATCTAAAATTATTGTGTGTTAAAAAATGAGTAGTAATTTTTTATTCAAATTAGTTTACAGGTTTGTCGCTTTAACTGCCTCCTAAAAATAAAAAATGTAGCCAGTAAAATAACATCAGCTCTAAAATTACTATTGTTTCCATGCAAAAGGAATATCAAATTTATGTCTCTGCGAGATACGTTATTTGTCATTTGGCCATAAAAACCCAGAACAACCTACAGAGAAATGTTAACAATTGTCTAAGAAGAGATGCAATAACTTAGGTCATCATAACATCAAAGAATGTAGCAATGGTTTTCCAGTTACATTTCTTGTTATGTCGCGTTTTATCGACGTGAAATGATTTTTGCGAATCGGAGAATTTTTCGGAAAATGTCAGTGTGTGGATGTAGTGTTGAGTCATTGCGGTTAATTTTTTCTTCTGACAATCATTGAACTCGATTTTCTCGATTTCGCCTATTGAAATTTTTTTCGACATTCCTTTGCGATAATCCAGCGCAAAATTATCCATTATTAGGCGATTTTTTCGCACATTTCGATTATAAAACAATAATATCGTGGAGCGAGAACATCACGTTCAATATAATTACACCGAGATGGCACCAAGTGGGTGTAGCATCCACCAACAAATGTGTATTCCTTTTCTCTTGAACTGGTCGAGTTCAGTGTTCTTCAAGGTCCATCAAGGACGAGTTTTGCCTGACGTCATCCTTACGGACGCTCCAAGAGATCATCGGATAACTATCGGAGCAAGGTTTTTTCAACTTTTTATGCAACGGTTTCACTTTTCTCATTGGCTTTTGCCGCAATTAAGTCTGATTAATATTGATAACGTTCACAGTAAGTTGCTAATCGCTGTGAAAATGACATAATTACGCCAATTACACCAGGAAAAAGTACGACTTTTTACGCCTTCTAGAGTGTCCTTCAGACGAAATCGCTGAAGCTCTCAAACTAAGGATGGGAGTTTATTAGTCTGCGTGCACGAGGTTTAGGGCCAAAGGTCACGGCTTGAACGGCCGCTTGATTGAATTATTACGGCATGTTGCCGGCCATTGTGCAGGGGCGGGCTGACATTACAAGAAACTGTCAGTATACCAATAGGCAGGCCTCTTGCGTTGCAAAGGTACAAAATGTTCAGAAAAAACATGAAACTTGAAATTTTTCTTTTTTTTTTCCAGAGTATTGTATTAAGGAATCACCTTTTCCAGACATTCTGAATATTTTACACACTAGAATTGTCACTTTTAGTAGTTACTTTACCTAGAGTTAGTTATCTAGTTACTTATGATATGGTATCAAAGGAATAAACAACTATTTTAATCCCGAGAACGTATTCCTATACGTATATGTCCCTGTATGTATAATGTATAGGCATTTTCATTCGAAGTATTAACGATATTTATTCCAGAGATACACACAAAACTTTTCTCCCAATAGACTAAAGTAATAATAATAACAGGAGAAAATTATAAATTCATCAAATAATGTGTGAAAATATTCAGTTAATTCATTGCAATTTTAAGAGTAAAACTCTATCAAAATGTTTGTTTATGTCAAAAAACACACAAAAGATTTAATTCATTCAATGTTCATACGGTTTATATTTCTAGTCTTCTAAAGCTAAAATCGATATTTAATTTGTTTTATTCTAAAAGAAATAAAGTACCATCTTATTAGTCAAAAATGAGGGAATAAAGCGTCACTTTATTCCCTGTTCCTGTTTGGAAGAAAAGCTTGAAATTGTTGCGAGCATAACAAAAAAATATTGAAAATTTGTATAAGTGAATAAGATTTACCCAAAATTGTTATTTATTTTTTATAATCCATTGCAAAACTTTAATGAAGTATGAAAAAATATAGGTATGATATTCGTCACAAAATCGCGTGTCCAAAGCATTAAATTTTTGCAGTCTATTTATTACATAAATAGCTATTTTCTAATTATGTCCAACTTAATTAATAAAAACAGATACTAAAATGTAACACAAAGCCATCTGACATTTGGCTAGTAAAAACGTAAAGATATAAACGACAAAAACAAATATTGAATTAATTTACAGTTATTTTCTCTTTATTTTTATAATGAATCTATTGTAAGGAAGTAAGAACTTAATTTTTTAAACGTAGACGTAAACATAAACGGAAACAGAAATACACAAACGTAAAAACGTGTTCATAAGAATATACCAGGAGATTAAAAAGTATTTTTACTATAAAACCATTTTTCTCATGAAGATTATGATCTAAGGATCACAACTTTACATTTAAGTTTTTCAAAAAAAAAAAAATTTACATAAAAATTTTTTGACAAAAAAATCGCATAACTCAAAAACAAAACAAGATTTCGTTCTCAAAATACGATCACATTTTTTATATTAATTATTATTTTCTGGAGGCAAATGATAAAAAAAAACCCGCTTGGTTCCATACTTTCTATTCACCCTGTATAAACCTAAAACTATACTTAAATAATAAGAATGTTCAGAGCATAGAAATATAAAAGTAGGATTGTATGTTTATCCTTTTTTATATATTTATTAGAACTAAAAATATTAAAATTTCTACAACTAGGTTACTTTTAGATTTTTATTTATATTTGTTAACATAAGAACATAAACATAAGGTTGTAAAACATAATGATTTTTTCTAGAGTAAAAACATGTATAAAAAGAAATATTAAAAAAAACCGTATTTACATAATTATTGCAACCAAATGAAGAAATTAATGTACAAAATAGCTCAACGTGAACTAAAGAAAATTGGAGTACTTAAGTTTAAAGCAGCTTAGGTAACAAATTGCTCAGAAAATGTAAATGACTTATTAGGCTCCCATACATAAAATGCTCGACAATAAGTAGTTTTTGAACTAGCGGTTGACATTTCTCATTTTATTGATTTTTTAATCATAAATAGAAAAAAAATGTGCTTACATAAATAACATTAGAATATTAGAATTAAAAAGTTTTTCAAATTCAAAATATACACGTTACTGCGGCTACTCTAAATACATGCTTGTATTGCAGGTTGCATAGTCTGTATTGTTAATTGCATAGCTTTTTATTATAAAATTATGAAAAAGTAATAATTTTAACAGATCATTAGTAGTGCCTCATTAAAAACAGGTATTGTGTTATTAGAAATATAAAATATGCAAAAAAATCAGAACAATTGTCATAAAAATAAAAAAATGACAAGTTTTTGACAATTATTAATTTCAACAATAAAAAAACATGTACGTTAAATTAGCATGGATTTTAGCCTCAAATACTCGAAATACATTATAAGTGGCGCTGCCTTGGTTTTAGCGGTAAGAAATATTTTATCTAATCTTCAAAATCAGTAAATTAAACTTTTAGATTCTTGGCCTTGTCATGTTTTCAGTCGGGTTAAGCTGGCTAATCAGCATCGCAAATTGTGGAATCTTAGTCGAATCAATAATCAGAAACGCTTCATTGACTCTAATTACAGGCGCAATTATAGTTGTTAGTTCTTGGGTAGGCTTGACTGCAATTAGACGAAAAAATCTAGCCCTACTAGTCCTAGTTACGTATTTTTAATCGCTTTCAAGAAAAACAATAATTCTTTCCAGTACGGGGCTGTGCTAATGTCAATCACAGCTTTGGAATTGAGCGTCGGAATTTATGATTTTCTAGACAAACACAAAGTCGACGAGCAAGTCCCGAAGTATGCGACCAAAATTGATAGGAACATTCATTTGGCGTTCAACAAGAACGACTCCGACGCGAAAATGTGTCTGAAAAATCTACAAACCAAAGTTTGGCTCAACTTTTTGCAAAAATGAAAATCAACACCTAAAAATTGCAGTTAAAGTGTTGCGGGGCTCATGGACCTAGCGATTACGCCCTCCACAAAGTTAAGCAAATTCCAGAAAGCTGTTACGAAAGAGCGGAAAGTAAAACAGATCCGTACCCGCATGGTTGTGCCCAATTAATTGCAGATTTGCACAAATATGATTTGAAATTTTCGGCCAGTTTTAGCGTCATTGCTGCTATTTTTGCGGTATAGTTTATCACTGGATTTATCATCCAGATTCCAATTTGTAAAAACGTCACGACTTGATTATTATTATTATTATCTGGAGTGGAATTAATTTTTGTCAATGATAACAACTGTTGTAGGGAGTTGGTACTGTTTTCGTGTTTCTGTTGTCCAAGAAAAAATTGCAGCAACTAGAAGTGAGAGTCTATGACGAATAATTTTTTTTATTATAATTTAATTAAAAACGGATTAAATAATAATAATTTCATTTAATCTTTCTCACTATCTCTACTATTGTATCAGTTATCAAAACGCTACCTCTCGTCTTTATCAGTTCAAAAATCCGTTGTAGCACAGCATTTGTCAATTCCATCAAAATGAGTTGCATTACTCAATTTTCTAAATATGTGATATTTTTATTCAATGTTATAATTTCGGTAAGTCCCAAGCTACACGAAACTTGATCTAAAAACAACATTTCAGAGTTGTGCCCTAATTTTAATTATTTTCGGAATCATTTATTTTTTTGAAGAATCAACAGGAGTTAACATTTTTGAAGAAATCTATTCACTTGGGATTATCTCAATATGTATGGGAGGGTTTCTCATTTTTGTCGCTGGTTTCGGGTGCTGTGGGGCCCTCCACAAGAACACTTGTCTTCTAACGACTGTAAGTAGAATTTCAAAACAACAACAAACTAATTAATTATTTTTCCCCAGTATGGATTTATTTTGATATTCCTTTTTATAGTCCAACTGATTTTTGGAATATATGTAGCGTTGAAAATCAGTGACGAACAGGAGTTTAAAAACAATGTTAAAAGCACAATTGAGGAGTTGTTCAATAACGATACAAAATCTTTCTATGACATTCAGAAAAAAGTAATCCTTTAATTTCTAAATGTTCTCTCTCGCTAAAAAAACTTTCAGTTCGAGTGTTGTGGAGTCAACAATTTCATTGATTACAACACAACAGTGGGCCCTTTTCCCAAAAGTTGTTGCGAAAAGGAGAAAAGTCCTTGTTTTTATCCTTTTGAAACTGGTTGTGTTCAAGCTTTCACCGACACTGTTTTGCAATATATTCAAATAATCGGATACGCTGCTATTGCTTTCGGAGTTGCAGAGGTAAATTAATTTTTTTTTTGACAAATATGAAGCTAAACACAAAGTTTTGTAGCTTCTAGGGGCAGCTTTCTCTTTCGTGGTAAGTAACAATAAATTTATTTAAAATCTCAAACTTATCAATCTTGTAAAAAGTGTCTTATCTGTTATCTCAATAGCTTACAACGAATTTAGGAAAAAATCTTTAAATCTTTGTAAAAACACGAGATTAGAATCACTCTAATCATGCATTCTTACATAATTGTTGCTATTTTTAATTCAATAAATAAATTTCAGCTCCGGCACGTCCACATACGAAACAAAGTGAAATTCTTAGAACGCTCTGTAGAAGAAACTTCGATTTAAAATGAAGAATATTGCAATACAAGATTGCTATAGCGTGAATCTTAAAAAAGAATAAAGACTGCCTTTAAAATATGTAAATATTAATTATTTATAATAAAAATTTAGTTCGAAATAATTTGTGTTTTTTTTCTCGTTTGACACTTATTGTCGTTTTGACACATTTTTGTCCAAAAACAGTTTTTTTCCTATGAATTCTACCACAGAAGCTGTAACAATTGTTCTTTATGTTTGTAATTGTCTTCTCGGGGTAACATATATTATAAAATTTTAATGCTTCGTCAAGACTTGACAATTTTAGGTGTGTGGACTTACTTTACTAACCTTAGGAATTATTCTTCTCTTGAAAGAATCAAAGTATGTTAACATATTTGATAGTGTGCTCTTATCAGTAGGAAGTTGGTCGTTTTGTGTCGGTTCTCTCCTGTTGGTAATTGTGTCTTTTGGAATAAATGCAACGATTAGGAAAAGAAGTTGTTGCCTATTTCGGGTAAAAGTAACAGTGTTATTTGTTTCTTTATTGTAAAAATTTACTTCCAGTATTCCACGTTTTTAACAATTGTCTTCCTTTCTCAAATTACTTTGGGCCTCTTCGCCGCCGTTACACTCCATCCTGCAAACAATTTAACCCAAAGAGTGGAACAACGATTCGAAGCACCTTTCAAGCGAAACAATTCCGAGTTTCAAACAATTTTAAACAAAATTGAGCTCAACGTAAATACGTGAAACTTCAGTTCAATAATATTCATTTTCACAAAGATTGTAGTACAAATGTTGCGGTATTAGAGGATCCACCGACTACAACACAACAGTACCGAAAACTTGCTGTGAAAACAATTGCAAAAACTACTACAGAAACGGCTGTGCCGCAAGTTACGCCCAAGATTTTAGAAAACTCATCAAAGAAATTGCCTACATTTCGCTCGTATTTTCCCTACCTCATGTAAGTTCCAGTTTAATTTAATTTTATTTCATTTATCAATTTCAGATTGGTGCCTCTTGTCTGTCTTTAATTTTGAAAAACAATAACATTCCGTGTCCTCCACAAGACACTCCAAACACTCCTCAGACTTCTCAAACTTGATTCAAATTTCGTATTAAGCCAGTGGCGCCCTCTAGACACGCAACAAAATGGCTTCACGCCGTTCCATGGCACTCTCTGACTGTTTAGGCGCAAAATTGGCGGTCTTATTGACAGGATCGCAGGAGGTTGTGGAGATTGTGAGAGTTTCGGCTACGCTACGATCGGTTCTAGTCGTCACCTCTCGGCCTTCATGGCCTCCTGATACGTGGAGCTCTCGTTTGATAACTTGACGCAATAAGAGGCATAAAAGTGGGTGGTGGGGTTTTATGCCCCATTTGAAAAAAATTACAATTCAAAAATGTCAACCAACCAACAAACAATTTCCCCAACTGGGGAATAGGTCATGGTGTTTATTATTTAGATTAGATTGTCACTGGGATTTCTTTCTAATGCTTATGAAGAATGTCAATAAATAATAAATAACAAATGAAATAAATAATTTTTTTAGTAAAATTAACTCAAAATAATGTTTCTAATTCTAACAGCATTCCCAACAGAATATTTCCTTGGAATTTCAAATAAATTAATAAATATGTTCAACTTAGGATTAGATAAATTAACAATTGGGGCGCACTTCTCGGTAAATACAGGTGGTAAGCCATATTGGATTATCTATGAAATTATGTCAGCCATATTGGATTTATTACTATTTCTCATAATTCATAACTAAGAGGGCTTAACTCACAAGGCATCATAAAAGCGAAGAAGTGTAGAGAGTGACAGAATATAGACGGTAGGTGTTGCATATTTTAATGTTCATAATTTTTCTCAGCTCTGATTGGTTGACAACTAGATTAAATACCCTCATTATCAAAGGCGGCAAATTACATATGGCAAAATATGGGCCAATAAATAAAATCAATAGTGTTGGAAATAATTAATTCTTTTGTATTTAAATATTGCTGAAATAAGATTTTTAGCAATAAAGTATTTTTTATTTGCAATAGAAATACAGATTAAGTCAATTTAGGCTATGGAAGAGACAACCATTTTCTTTTTAGTTATCTAATAGTCACGTTTCAACACGTTATAATTACTCATTACGACTTACGACACCCAATTAGTTGAATTAGAATTAAACTAAAATATCTAAATAGTATGTAATTTCACAACGGCCATTTTAATGGTTGCTAGATAATTTGACATTAGGAAACTATAACAAATGATATAATGGCTGAAATTTTGACATAATACAGGTTTTAGGTGCACACAAAATTACTTTGCGATTGATTATAACCAATTAGCATAAGAATTATGACTTGGGCCCAAAATAATCTGCATGTATTATTTTTATTGTAAAAAAATGACACCACTTGTCATTTGTCAAGGCCTTCTTTCTATCTGTCTCGTCCCTGTTTAAAAAACCATTTTTCACCCTAGAGCCGTAACCCGATTTTCCCCCCTCGTCGTAAACACGTTTATTTGAAATAGCTGTGAGGGAATTTAATCGAGACCGGACACAGGCTATCGCTTGAAATCGCATGTGTTTGAGTGAGAGCACCGTTTCTATTTACATTGACCATTCGAATGACCCCAACGGTCACTTTAGAAAGAGAAAATTTAAAAAAGGAGGAAAAATCGAATCGTCGCAATTCGGCCCCCCATCATACACGCTCGATATCACGACAACGTCGTCAAACGGACTTTCAAAACGCTCTTCGCTACCAGGGTTACAGAAGGAGAAAGAGATGAGTCGTGGTGACGCTTGGATTTTCACCGCGAAAAAGCGGAACGCTTGTATAATTGGTTGCCTGCATCTAGTTTTTTTTTAAATAAGTAAAATTGAATCAAATGATTTTTATAATAAAATATAAATGTATTTTTGCATTAAAAATTATAGAATACAACCACATGTAATAAATCTAGGTTTCAAGAAATCAATCGTAGTGTTTGTCTCCAAAGGGCAGTTTGCACGTGCAAAAAATTCAAGTGTGTATAAATTGACCTGCATTCCTGACCCAAAAACCATCAAATACCAAACGAATAAATTACCAACGGACAAGTCCAAAATGTTGAATAGAGCTAAAACGGCTCCCGCGATAAAAAATTCAATGAATTGAATTGGAAGAAATAATTTTAAAACGTGTGTCAAAATCCATTCATGCACCAGTGCTGAAATCAGAAAAACGGCCAATTTAGCCGCCATTTTGTTCCTGGGGACAACTATTTCATACACGTCTTTATAAATGTGGATAAATAACCAATCGTGCACTATTACATTCCACGTTCGATAGTATTCTGAAAGTGACCTAGACGTCCACCATTCCTGAAAAAAACATTCAAACTTTTGATCATTTTTTAAAAAATTGCAACCTTGTAAAAAAGTCTGTCTCCAAATCTGAGCATTTCGGCAAAAGCATTCTGAAATGAATGCAAAACCGAGTAAAATCCACACAACATGAATAAAATTCCAGGGAACGAATTTGCAACCACCGGAATCACAATTTCGCTCAAAGTGTATTTCCTGATGCAAATGTCCTCGAATGGGGGCACTAGGAATCGCTCCACGACGAGGCTCAACAGCCAAATTATGCCCAAAACCTCCCCTAAATTGTATAGAACGAAACCCCAACGTATCGTCCTAGTCCGGGGGTATTCATCCCTGTAGACAAACGTAGGGGCGAAGAGAAAATAAAAGAAATTTTGGAACGTTGGGAGGATTAGTTTTGTGTCGCTGTGAGGCTTGTATTGATTGACTTTGGGGGCGTTTCTTCGGATGAAAGCGTGCTGTTTCATTAAAAGTCGGACCTCGAATTGGAAAATTATTTTTTGGGGTTTTAACAGAAATTTTTTTAACTACTTCTTCGAGGAATAAAACGGCCGCAGATCCGGGCGCAAACTCCATAAAATCGACCCCTTTTTGAATGGAATATAACGACAGGACGTAGTACAAAATCAGCGTTGTGACCCATATCTTGTTCCAGAATTTTTGACCTAAAATAAGTGAGGTGACCTTAGAAAGGGGCGTTACACAGAGTGACCCACAAAATTTCCTCGACCAATATTGTTACAAACATTAATTATTACAAATATTACATTAATTTATGTGCTGTTCTACCGTGCGATCAAATAAAAAATAAATTAGAGTAGGCGTCGATTAAATTCTACAGTTGGCAACACATTGGTTGGGAATCTGGGCTGGAAATTTTTCCCACAAACTGAAAGCGAAAATGACCATCAACCGTTTTCCTCTTGTACAGCAATAAAAATTTTCTGTTCTAAAGTGAACATTATTTCACTCAAAAGGAATAAAACGCAAACTTCTCAAAGTTTCCGCTGACATTTGATGTCAAAAATTAGGATTGCCATCTGAAGGACTTCACCGCCTACTGTAATTAATTTTTTTTTTGACCGCACGGTACATTTTACTAAATACAAGCAAAAAACGTCATTAACAATACAGGGTGCGCCAGAACTCGCGCCGAGAAAAATTTCGAGTAAGATAAGATACCAGGAACATGAAAAAAATGTTTAAAAAATTCTATCTGTCAAAAAATTTTTACATTTATTTTTTGACATTTGACATTTTTTCATGTTTAGTTAATGACAGTAAAGTACAAAAAATTTGTTAATAAAAGCCACAAATAACATTAAACAGAGTTACAGTTTAGGAAAGAGCTTCCTTATTGTATCCTCTTTTAATGGCTTGTAGCAAAAAAAATTGGAATTTTTTTTCCAATAGAAATAAATAGTCAAAGTGCAAAATTTAAACTCTCATAACTTCTAAATTTTTAAAGATACAATTTTTTAAACATTTTTTCCATGTTTGTGGTATATATCTTACCTTATTTATCTCTGGGGCGCGAGTTCTGGCGCACCTGTAGAAAAATTTATGTCAAGTATTATTCAAAACTCAGTCTTACCTGAGAAGTGCTGTATATTATTACTATATTAAATAAGTAATACAATCTAGGAAAAAAAACTGTTTAGAAAATATAGAAATTATTAAAAAAAAAAAAATATTGCTTTTTTAAAAAAAGGAGGTGTATGTAGGTCTATTTACGTACTTTTTGGTTGTAGAATTAGATAAATTTTGGCCCAAAACTTGAACACGCTGAATAGCGCGAGGGCCAAAACATTTAAAACTCCCCAAATCGCAACAACCCAACCAAATTTATTAAATCCTCTCACAATGAGTCTCAACCCGAAATGTAACCTAGAAAGCAACCGGAAATTAAATTAATTTGAGGAAATAATTGAAGGACGTACTGGCCGGTCTTGGAATAATCATGTATTACAGTGTTGGTCAACAAGCTGATAAGAATTATCGCGAACAAATTATAAATTGTTTTGATATCTTCACTGTTTTCAAAGCGGTCCGTCAATGGAGAGTTGCGTATTTTAAAGACTTTTTCAAACTGTTTACTTCTACAAAATGATAAGTGAGACACTAATAATGATTACCGGAGTTGCATACTTAATTTTTGTGTTATTGTTCGAACTCGAAGACATGACACACGTGATGCACGGAACTAATCACAAAAAATTATCTTGGGACATTCATTAACTAGCGGCGGCCACTAGGCAACTGATAAGAACGATAACCGTAGAAGAAACATCGACAAGACTGCCGAGACAACGTTTTTCAATGTTTTTCCAATGAGAAAGCATTTATCTATTAATAATTTTATTATCACTGGTCACTATCTACCCTATACTAACAACAAGAAACAAAAACAATTTTTACGACAAGTCTGACTCCAATGCGACTCCAATAAAATCAAAAATGAACAACTGGGCCTTGAGGGGGAGCATCCTATAAAAAGTCAAATTATTACCCCAAAATTTCGACAAAAATAATCCAAATACCGGCACAAGTTATGAGCGTAGAAAATATATCTCGGAATAGTAATCTCATTCTGTTCCCTTCTCTGCGCGTCCATAATCTCGGCCGCTGCTTCTTTGGGGTTAACCAAAGGCATTAAATTATGAAACTTGATGACGGGTTTTTTGCACAACCCTGTGTCAACCATGTAGGGGTAAATCGAAGTGAACTTGATTTCGTTCTTTTTGTCGGCTCTGCATTCCTGGAAGAGGGCTTCCATCAAGCCTCGAACTGCGTACTTTGAGCAACAATAAGGCACCAAATTTGGTATTCCGAATATTCCTGCTGATGACGAGAGCGAGACAATGTGTCCATAATTGTGTCTTTTCATTGCAGGGAGGAACGCTTCAAGCGTCTACGAAAGCATTACGTCACTTGGCTTTTGACCTGTGTTATCTATAACATTACCCAAAAGTGAGCCATGACGTTGATATCCATGATTCTCTGAATTTCGTCTTTGGTATGGTCGAGGAAGGGATGGGTGGGCATGATCCCGGCATTGTTGATGAGGATTGTGACGTCACCGACGCTTTGTTGAACGTCTTTGGCCACGGTTAGGACGTTTTCGCGATTGGAAACGTCACACCTAATCAGAGTAAATGCCTAACATTTTGAGAAAAGTATTTAAACTTACAGGAAGAAATAGGCTTTGGGGTATCCAAGTTGTTCGATTTCTTTCACGGTTTGGGTACCGTTTTTCTCGTTGATGTCCCAAATAACAACGGTAGCACCTTGGGAAGCATATAGGAGAGCCAATTCTTTACCAATGCCATGCCCAGCACCTGTTATCTTCAATTTCTGTATTGCAAAATTTTACCAAATTTCAGGACTTACCAAAACGATCTCTCCCCGGACCGATTTTGGCTGCTTCCGAACTATTAAACTGACTAAACTCAAAATATATGAGTACAAAACTTGCACGATTAGAATTAGGATGTCTACGGTAACTTGCGCTACTTGTACAACGAGTGTACCGCAGTCTGGGACTTCACTATTTCTTCAATGAATTGAATTAAAAGAATTTTTTTAGTTAAATATTTACTTACGTTGGCATTTTACTAGTACTTCTTCCACTAAGGCTTCGAAAACTAAGACGTAAATTTGTTTTGAATGTTTTAACTTTGTTAGATAATGTTGAAGTGTTATCGCCAGTCTTGATTGGTTCGGTTTAATATTTTTTATCGACCTTTGACGAATCAAAAATGTCTCACCTAAAGATAATGTTTTTGATTTATCGGTCAAATAATTTATTATTATACTGCGTGTGTAAAAACAATGATTTACAAAATTTTGGAGAAGCAATACATAACCAGAGATTAGAGTTATCTATTTTGCAACGGTAAATCGAAATGGAGACCATAAAGTGCTTAACAATGCTCTCAAAAATTTGATTTATCAGTTATTACTGACACTTATTGTGATTTGAATCAAATAAATGCGGTGAAAAAAATCTGTAGCCGCTCTATTGAAATTGAGATTAGATTTATTTTTTATCAAAAATATGTACTCGTAGTTTCAAAAATCGTCACAAAATCAGTGGCATACGATGAGTGGAGGTTTAGTTGGGAATAAAAAAATTTCATGCAACAAATTTATTTATCAACAATAAATATTTAAGTTGATTTGATTGTCCTTCAACCTTTATTTTCCATGGTTTATCCAAAGATTTGTGAAAAAATTTTCCAGAGTTCTGTGCTTAGGGACCTTTTCTCTTCTGTTCCTAATAATTTACCAGGAATCTGCAATAAGCTATCCCAAATTTCAAGCATTTTACCTGATATGACATCCTTTATTTTTATTGCTTTTGTATATAGGTCGTATATTTCTGTTAATATTAGTGATATTTAAATAAAAATATTCGATTTTTATTATTCTACGTACCACGCGCCCCTGGAACAATCCATGTTAAAGCAGTGCATAATGAGCTATCGTTCATTTGTTTGGATGGATCAGATTTTGAAAAAAAATAAGATGTTAACCCATTGGAAGGTTCTTTTTTTTGACTATAAAGTCGTGCCAAAGGCTGTGACAAAAAATTTCGATTGCTAGTCTCCTTTTTTGAGTTTTCAAAAGGTAACTGAGATAAAAGTAAATTGTAGCATGTTTCTACTCTTTTGAGAAATGGTAATTTAAAAATGTCATCTTCACTTTGAGAGGCTGGAAATAGTATGAATCATAACTTTAGATTATCATTAGTTAATTGATTTCCGCTTACCAATTGTAGGTGTAATATTCAAATGGATGAAAAAAATAGAACAAAACCACAAATATAAATTAATCCTCATGGTAACATAGACTACACAAATCGAAATCTGCAACAAAACTAGAAACATAAATAAATCTTCATGGTAACATGCAGACTACACGAATCGAAATCTGTTCTTTAAATACTGGCATAAGTAAAAATGTGAAACATAAATCATAAATTTAAATGCTCTCAAGTGGTTATCAATTTATGTCCAGGTCATAACACAAAAATAATTCCTTTTTAATTGATTTTTACAATCAGCTTATTACCTTATTTGTTATTGTACAGAATAATTGCAAAGGCTTTTTAATTTTGACTGAATAATTTTCGGAGAAGTTCAGAATGCTGTCTTGTTTCTCGTAAGAAAGTGTTTAACATATTCAATCTTTTTTTCATTGAAGTAAAAGCGAGTAATGTACAGGCTCACTAATAATTGTGGAAGATAATTGTAGATTAAAAGAAGTCGAAATAACCATAAGATTGCAGTCTCCAAATAAATTCAAATTTGACCGCCTTGATCTGACCAGTGAAAATTGTAAACTGATAGAATGATGTATCTTGACTTTACACCAGCAGGACTATCACCTCTTAATATTTGAGCTCAAATTATCAAAGCAACAATAAGAAATTGCTTTTCATTTAAATAAAATTTAAATAAATAATGAACGCACATAATATACTTTTACTAAATGTTACTTATTTTTTAAATTTTATAGGAAATCTGGGATTATGGAAATTATGAAAGGTTGTGCTTCAAACAATTATTTGTACTTAAAAAAATGTATTATACATAAATAATCATGCACTAAACACGCCATACTTGTGACCACACAAATTTTGTGTTCTAATTATAAAAACACAAAGCTTTTATATCTTATCGATCTTCTTAATAAAACTGAAATGAATAATGATACTGTAATGAAAATAAAACACTCGTGAATGTTATTTGGAAAAAATCTTCTAATACGGCCTCGAACGTCCTCCATCGCGACCGCCGCCACGGTCCCTAAACATCAAAAATAAAATCTTTTTACATGAAATTCAGCTGAAAATACCTTCCGCCTCCTCCTCCTCGTCCACCGCCGAAACCGCCTCGGCCTCCTCTTCCACCTCCAAATCCACGACCTCCTCGATCACCACCGCGGAAACCGCCGCCACCGCCTCTTCGATCTCTTCCCCGGTCACGATCTCTACCGCCACCACCACCACCGCCTCCTCTGCGTTCTTCACCCCCGGAACCGGCACCTTCCGGTTTATCTTCACTGCATCTATTACACTGATTCCTCCAGGCAAAATTTGTGTTCCCACAGTCGGGGTTTGGACACTTCCAATCACCTTCACGGCTTTCTCGGTCTCGGCCACCGCCTCCACCACCGCCGCCGCCGCCTCCGCCGCCACCACCACCTCCAAAACCTATACCACATAATTATTGCTTGCTTATAACAAAAAAAAAAAAATGTTTCCCTAGACAGGATACATCAGAAGCAACCAAACTGCTTCTGTGTGTTTAATGGGGAATTAATATGCCCCTTGAAAAAAAAACAGATTTTAGCCTATTTTAGACAAATCTGGGTCGGAAGGGGTACCAATTTCTTTTTGAAATGTTGTAATATTTACCTCCATCACGGCCTCTTGGCCCGCCAAAACCGCCCCCGCGGCCACCACCTCTTCCCCCACCACGACTTCCACTCCAATTATCCTTTTTCGTAGCCAGTTGTACTCTTATCTGAGTACCACCGAATTCTTTACCGTCGAACCACGAGATTGCTGATTGGGCTGCATTAGAATCATCGTACGTAACAGTGGCTTCGCCTTTTGAAAGTCCAGTCTGTTTATCTTTGTACAACCAAATCTTTCGTTTTTGTGTCTTCTTGTCCATCTAAACGCAACGTAAACATTTAATATTTGTCAAATATTGAATTCTTTGTAACAGATTGAATACACTTGTTTGCAAACATGTTTTGCAATCAAGGAATAGCATCTGTCATAATATTGCGACACTTCAAAATTGAACTTGGTCAAGGAATAGAATCCAAGCACAGAGTGCAGGTCGCTGCTTTTAGTCAAATCACTTACTTTGATCACTCCAATCGAACCGAAGTGTTGAGCAATTTCATCTTCTGTAAGATTCGGATTCATTCCAGACACAAAAATCGTGTCGACTTGAACCACTAGGTTACTGCCGCCTCCATTATCTGGAAATTAATACGAAAAATGATGTCGGGAGTGCAAAATAATAATTTTACTAAAATTTAATTGTTACGCCAACATTATCGTAATCATTTATTTCATTTCTGATTTGCACTCATTTTACTCAAAAATCCATATTTTATCAAAACACCTAAACCAAGACTGTAAAAACCATATTGTACACCTTTTTCTGTTATTTTTGTCACTCTGTAAAAGTCTTAAACTTGACCACAACCCACCTTGAAGTAAATACCATCTTTAATCTTTAAATTTAAGAACGCATCCTTTTTTGGTACCATTTTCCCTTTATTGAATGGTTTGTAAGTGAGCAAAAATTCCTCCAATAAGTATAAACATCATATTTAGCGCTCACAGCGATATAAAAAGACATATTTAACCCAAATTCGTCAAATATTTATCACAATATACGCAATAAAACCTGTTTCCTGGCTTATCTACTACCAACCAAAATAAAAGAAAAAATACTTTCATGTACTTTTTTTTACCTTAACTCTGTGTTAATAAGAAACTTGGTTAACTCACTAAATATCAATCTTAGAACCAATCAATCTTAGAACTCAAAAAATAAAACCTGATTAGACAGAACATTGAAGAGATTTCTTTGAGACCATTAAAAAAATATATAAACGTTAAAAAAATTACAAGGAAGAAAGTAATAAAGCAATTTTTTATTTCTAACACAAAAGTAAAAAAATATTTGAGTTTGCTTGAATAAGAAAAAATAATAATCAACAAAAATGTGCAATTTTTTATAAAAATTATTCATGTAATGAAAACAAAGTCGTTGCAGTGATTTTAATAACTATTATAAGGTGTTTAACTTTTTTTAAATTAAAATTCTATTTAAAGCAATCAATATTTTCTTTTTACTTTTTCTTCCATTTACAAATTAGTTACACATTAATGTGTAAATGTACACAAAACTGCACGTAATGTGAAATAAAAAGAAGTTATCATCTAGTGTAGCAAACAAAGACTATGTAAATGTTGTAATCAAAAATTTCAAACGTAAAACTTATCGAAATATTATAACAACGCACCCTAACATTCGCAGGTGAATAGTGGAAGAGCTGTTAATGTTTGATTATTAAGTATTCGCATTATAATCGCGAGTCTAAGTTTTGAAATAAGTACAATAATGGAACACCAAATAATCAAAATGTGTAAAAATGCTACAAAGTAAAAAGAAAGAATGCAGCTCTTCCAAAAACCAATAAAAAATACCAATTAAAAAGTGTACAAAAATGCACTGGTCACAGTGACTCAGTGCTTTTACCTTTGTTATAACCACCCCTGTTGCCGCCTCTAAAACAGAAGTAAAACATCAGTAGTTGTCGAGAGAATGGAGGGGGGTGAAAAACACACACTTCACCAACCATTTTGTTGGCATACACATTGTCTTCATCCAGGAAGATCACCTATTTCTAGTTGTTGTCACGTCTATGTACGATGTTTACCTTATTTATAAACTCTCAAACATTTTATTATATACCTTTGTCAATAACAACAAACGAAAACCATTTAATTCTAATAACAACCATCTCAAAACCTTTAAGAACCGTCCCAAAAATAAATACCTCAGGAAAACCACCTGTTTTATAATTTAACTTAAGATTTTTACGGCCATTTTCGACCACCAACAACAAACACAGACGTGTGTATTACAACAAAATACTTACACTATTTAAACTCTGTAAGCAAACTGATATTAATACAGTTTCAACGATTTCTTGACAATAAATACCCATTCATTCACTTTTTGTATCATTTTAATACCTCCCATCCAAAGTATAATACCAAAAGTGTAAAAAAAAAACGATAACTTACCCATAAGAATCACGTCGATCTAGAGGCCTTTTGTCAAAATCGCCACGATCTCGGCCTCCTAAATCAAGAATAATTAGTAATAGAATGCAAATTTACCAGTCAAGGTACCTCCATAGCCACCACCGCCGCCATAACCGCCACTATTGCCATAACCTCCGCCGCCGCCAGAGTTGTAACCACCTCCTTGGTTATAACCGCCGCCGCCGCCACCTGAAACAATTGACAATAGTAGAAAAATGAAAACATGTTTCAAAAACAATGCATAGACGAAAGTCTACTTCTCATATTTAAATAAGAAGGGACTAAAATAAAGAATTGTTTCAAAACAATGTATAGGTGAAAGTCTACCCCTTCTCATATTTAGATAAGAAGGGACTATCAATTCCCTAATTGCTCTGCGACATAGTAGGAGGTTATAAGCTAATTGAACAAACTCAAACCATGCCTATGTCGCCCCAAATCACAAATTATTACCTTGGCCGCCGCCATAACCGCCTCCAGACGATCGTCCTTGATTCCAGGATCCGCCGCCGCCACCGGCACCTCCGCCACCGCCTCCTTGTGGATTAAAACCGCCGGCCGGTGGTGCCCCGTAAGTATTTGGGTAAGCAGTGCTGGGGGGCGGTTGAGAATAATCGGCGTATGATCCTACAAAAGTACAATTTGTAAATGACCCAAATAATGGAAAAATCGATTATTGTGAAATCAGGACAAGCCAACATAAAAAATGCGGTAACAACAAGTTCGCAATATATTTTAGAGTAGAAATATTAATAAACCCGGTGATTTGTTGAAGGGATGACTGGGATTTTTGTAAAATAAGGATACTTACGGTCGCCCATGTTCTGCTGTTGGGATAATCGAACAAACAGAAAGAAAATGGATTCGAGGGAAAAAGACGCCACGGATTGGAGACCTGTGATTGGTCGGCGTTTACAGCTCTGCAAACCCCACCAAATAAAATACACTACATAAAGCAATTTTTTTTAAGAATCAGATTTAATTTACAATCCCAAGTCTACAAAATCAACACAAATGGGTTTTAAAGACAATATTTGTGTTAAAAAAGTAATTATAATTCTATGTTAGTGTACATCTTTGGTGTAATAATGTAGAAAAGTTGTTGTGGCAGCACTGAAAAGCTTATCAGAATTCAGGGCCGGCTTAAGGCCACTTGCCGTTTTGTTAGGCCTTGAGACTATTTTGTTGTTTTTCCTTTAGCTTTGCAAAAAATGTTATAAAAACTTAATAAAAATAACAGTCTGTTTATTTTCCAAAATAATAAACAATAAATAATAGAGCTTAAACCTAGGGTAAGTTGGAATTATTCGCAATCCACTTGAAGATCTTCACGAATTTGAGTGTTGGCTGGGCGTCAAGCCACCACTGTGCTCAGGACTGTGTTTCTGCTTTTTTCTCTTCTTTTCCTTTTTTCTTTTCTTCCTTTCTTTATCTTCATCGTGCCGTTTTTGCTTTTTATGCTTCTTTTCATGTGTATCACTTCCAGCATCAGTAATGGTAGTCTCCTGACTTGGAAGCCCCCCATCTTTGTGTTTGTGTTTTTTATGTTTATTTTTATGCTTTTTCATAGGCGCCGCATTTGCATAACGATATTGTTCAGGCAGCTGAAATCCAATTGTCAATAATGTTTTCTTAATAAAAATTATTATGTTTACCGCCCCAGGGTGTAGTCTAAAGCCATCCAGTTGGATGCTTGTCAACGGTAACAATTCCTTGCCCCCAATTGGGGGCTTTTCAATCACTGACCTTAATGAACTGTTATCATGCTGTCCAGGAGAGTCAATAACACCAGGTAATGTTGGCAAAAACGAAGATAACTGTTCTTTAAGCTTTTTTCCACTGAATTTACTGTAAGAGTGCTCAAGGCCATAATAGGCCATCAAATTCGTCGCTCCTGTTAGTTCCGACTCTCCTACAACCCAATTCGCATGAATTTAAGCAACTTCAAGCCCTGTTTTGCTTACCTGGAGGCTCTTTCATCAAATAGAAAGGTCCACTAGGGACAATTGAAGGGTTCTTTCCTAACAAAATTGTCGTTTTTAATGTTCCTGACGAATCCTGACGCGAAACGACAGGGGAACGAGCCCCTCTAGGCGAAGATTTGGGCGAATATTGTTCCACTTTACGAAACTGATCGCCCATCATCTTACAACTTCATCGTTTTGCAACAACGATGGAGCTGGAAATGGTAAATGTCACTTCAGCATCCCGTACCAACACAAAATGACGAAACAAACAAACAAATCAATTATTACTTTAGTAATTTTCGTGCTCAAACCTTTGTCAGCTTGACAACTTAGTAACTTTGAAGGTAGTTTAGTTGGCGAAATTGTGCAATTGTTACTGTTGCTAAGATACCGCGTCGAAGCCGCCGCCCCCAAAACATTACTGATTTTCCCAGAGAAAAAACATGTGTCTTTTGTGAAAACAAGTATTTTGAAATAACGAGAAATGGGTTGTTGTGAGTCCAAAAAGGAACCGGAACGGGAAGAACCCGTTCAAAGAGGGTGCACCGATGTGTTTTGGTTGTGTTTGTACATTGCGTTTTGGTTACTAATGGTAAATAACCTTGATTGGTGTGTAATTTGCCTCATTAATATTTTTAGGTTTTAATTGCGGCATTCTCCTTCGTCTATGGCAATCCCATAAGGATTATAAACGGCTATGACTCATTTGGTAACATTTGCGGTACAAAAAATAACAGAAAAATGTCCAGTTTGGAAGTATCAGGACTAGATACTTCGGACAAACCATTTTTACTTTTCTACGACATTAAAGAACTGAAACAGTCATTGAAGATATGCGTAAAACAATGTCCAACGGAGACTTTAAAGAAAGTAGAAGACATCCACAAATATTACCAAAAAACAGGTGTCAGTTTGTGTAGATATGATTTTAATTATGACGATTTTAAAAATAAGAGTATTGCGAATAAGGAGATTCTTAGTAGTTATTTGGGGCCGTGTCCTGCTCTCCCCATTTACGAAAGGTACATTTCCACAATTTGAATTGAAAAAAATTAAAATTGAATTTTAAGCACCCCAGTCCTCAACCGTTGCGTTCCTAAATCGTTCCAAGAGGCAAGCGAAGCTATTTTGAGCAATTTTTATGAAGCTCTGAACAGTTGGGACACACTTGAGCAAATTTTAGGCGACATATACAGCACATGGAAGGAAATCCTCTATTTAACGTTTTTATCACTATGTGAGTCTCTGGATAGCCAAAAAACAACCTCACAATTAATTTCCAGTTTTGTCACTTGTGACAATCTCAATACTGCACCTACTGGCCCATTTAGTGTCTTACATAATCATGATTTTGTTCACAATTGCGAGCATATTGGGGACCGCGTTTTTGTGGTACACTTACTTTGATATTAAGTATGATTTGGATAAAACGAACAAAAACATGCTTTTGATGGAGTCAGTTCGTAATGAAACGGCTTTTTTCTGGTATTCAATCGTGGCCACTGTTATCACAGTAAGTTAAAGTAGTTGGTAGATAACCAGGAGTAAATATATTTTTTAGGTCGTTATTTTATTAATTGTTGTTGTGATGCGAAAACAGGTGAATTTTTTGGCCGACTTGTTCAAAGAAACTTCTAAATGTTTACTTCATCTCCCAGCCCTGTTTTTCCAACCGATTTTAACATTTATTATCCTTGTTTTATTCTTCATGTTCTGGATTTTCGTCGTGGTGCGTCACTTTGACCATTTTTTTTTCTTTTAAATTAATAAAAAAAATTCCAGTTATGCTTGGCCACTGCTTACTACCCTGGAACCTCTCGTATTAATCGCTTCTCTAATGAATCTTTCACCACTCCTGTGAGTAACACGGAGCCGGTGGCCAAGCTGGGCAACATTTCGTTGACAGAAAAAATTCTTGAAAGTATTGATTTCACGTTTTTTATTTGATTTTTTATTAATTGATTTTAGAAATGACAGTTGTCGAGTTCACTGACCCAACTTGGGTGAAATACATGTGGTGGGTCTACTTCATCGGTCTCATATGGACCTGCGAGTTTATCATGGGTTGCCAACAAATGGTAATCGCAGGGGCGGTCGCCCATTGGTTCTACCGGCACAAATACAAAGACAACTCGCACGTGTCGTACGCCATTTGTAAATTAATAAAGTACCATTTAGGGTCGGTGGCGATTGGATCACTCTTGATAACGATTTTCAAAGTCCCGAGACTGATTTTAATGTTTTTGCATGAAAAGTAGGTTTCGCAATTTTTGAAATTTCATCAAACGGGAATTTTTTTTCAGGCTGAAATACAATTCGGATAAAGGCAGCGAATGCGCATCTTGTTTTCTGAAGTGTTGCATTTGTTGTTTCTGGTGTTTGGAAAAATTCATCCGATATTTAAACCACAATGCTTATACTGTTATCGCCATCGACGGGGTTAATTTCTGCTCAGCTGCGGGGACGGTACGTCTCAAAACCATTTTTTCTAAAAACAGTAACAATTTTTTAAGGCGTTTCAAGTCCTGTCATCGCACGCCCTGCAAGTGGCCACGATTAACGGTCTGGGCGACTTTATTCTGTTTTTGGGCAAGTGTCTCGTTACGGTCCTAACTGGTTGTGTAGGCCTTTTCATATTTCGCCGGAACCCGGATCTGGAATTTTACGCCGCCCCTACTTTGGTTGTGTGCATTTTTGCCTTTTTCGTGGCCCATTGTATTCTCTCCTTGTATGAGGTGACTTGCTCATATTTGCCAAATTTATGACTAATTTTGATGAGTTTCAGATGGTCTTGGATACGGTTTATTTGTGTATTTGTCAAAACGGGGAAAGTGTAGAAGGGATTCAAATGGAAAATCTTGGAGTTCGAAATGTTGGCAATCTGAATGCGCAACCAAATGAGTTGGAACCAATCAAGTAATCGGTTCTAATGTTGGCAAAAGTGCTTAAGTTTACTGCAAGGGTAAAAGAATTGCAACTGTTTTATGATGTACTAAGCTATAAGTCTGTATTTAAGGCAGCTTTAATTTTTTTAATAATGTAGGTGTAGAATAGATAAATATTTATATTGACATTAATTGGTGTATAAATTATGAAACATTGCGTAATTAGGCTCTAAAAATATTTATCTTCCAACTTGTAGACCAAAAAAATATATAAAAAACAACGCTGCCCCCTGTAATGGCCTAAACTGATACAATTAAAAATTCACGCACTTAATATAGCAGAAAATTAATCGCACTAAAGACTGTTTCAGAGATTTTTACATTTTGAGATTTTTATTAACAAATATACTCATTATCTGTTTATTGGACCAACAGGTTGTGAACATTTTTAATTTAGATCATAACATTTCTTATAGCAATATTTTTATAAGAATTGAATTACTAGCACCATTCCCACTTACGCACCTAGGAGCAAAAAGTATTTTTATATGTATGTTGTACAAAAAACGCGCTGTTTTTATAAATTTTAATGAAAATAAACCTGTTACAAGCAACTCATTTCTGTTTTTTCTTCTTCCCGAATTTCTTTTTCCTCAAAACATTCTTCGGTTTTTCTTCTATTTGCGTCTTTTCTTCCTCAATTTGTTGGGCTTTTTCAAGCGGGTCCCCTTCGAAAATATCATCCAAAGGTTTCATTTTGTAACCTTCGCCTGAGTCTATTGTACTCGCGTGTGCTTTCTGTTGTACACGATTGAGATATTTGTTTTTGGCAGAGAGACGTATTTGTTGCCTGTATTTTGCGGGACTCACATAAAACGGGTTCTCCCAAAGTGAGGCACCACCAAAACTTCCTGAAAATATTTTTACCTAGAATTTAACAATTAGAATTTTATAACGAGTTTGTGGGTATTATTACTGGATTTAGGACAAATCTGGGCCCCACTTCAGCCAAAGCGCCGTCTTCCGACAAAATCTGGAAATTTCTAAACCAAATTCGGTTATCCAAAACTGTGAAAGTGTAAACGTGGTCAAAGAAAGGTTGGCTTTTTGGGTGGTGTTTGGGGACCCCAAATGTTTGGCTTAGAAGTTCTTTCAGGAGGGTGTAGTGGGGCTTCTCTGTGAAACTAGGGTCAAAGCTGAGTAGAGGTCTAGAACCCCTCAAGCAATTCCCAGTCAGTTTTAATTCACTCATTGTGTACACTACAATAAACCATTAGTAGAGTATGAATGGGGGGTATACAACACAACCTTGGCCTTGAGACTGTCAAGGTCACAACATCTCCCTCCCACACTTTTCAAGGCCAACCACTCTCTTTTGCTTTTTTTTCAAGACGACTGAGAGTAGTTGGCCTTGAAAAAAGTGTGAGACGGATATAGTGATGGATACAGTGTGACCTTGACAGTCTCAAGGCCAAGGTTGTGTTGTGTACCCCCCATTCATACTCTACTATCATTAAAAAATAAATTAATTGAAATATTACCATTCTCGACCAAAAATTTCGCACTAGGCCCATTTGGAACATTGGCCATCCACATGTACAAATCCATTTTCTTCCTCCCTTCAAACATAACGGCCTTGTTACAATTTTTCATTTCACACATCTCATTGACAATTGATAAATTTTTGCTCCTCTCCATTTTTGATTCGGGTTTGTGGTGTGGCATCAGTTTTTTTAAATCTTCCATTAAATGCCTGTCTCTGTGATTGATTCCACGAGAACTGAAGACAAGAACTCGCTGTTTGTTCACCCATTTGGCCTAAAAACCCGACTTTGGAAAAAAAAATAAGCACACAAAAATATTACTTTTTTCGGTAGAGGCTCGTCTGAATGTCGCACAGCAGGCAAAGGCTCTGGTTCGGCCTTTTTTTCATTTTCACTAGCATTACGACGGCGTTTGACCGGTTTTTTCATATTTTCATTAGACACGTGAATTACAATTAAACCTAACCTCAATTTTTGAAATCTAGTTAGGATTTTAGCACATGCGCACTTTAAATTTAACTTTTTTACTATCGACCAGAAAAATATTGAATGTGGTACATTACACCGATAGTGCTACATTCAGCTGGTCTACTTGTTCGTTTTCCCAAGGTTGCCACTACAAAAAAGCTGTCAACTGTCATAAGAATCTGACGTAAAAACATTTTTTGTGTTATTGTAAATATTTTAATTTTTTTAATCGATTTGATTATCAGTTTTTGCCAACTCTTTCACAATGGAATAAACAAGAGGATTAAAGTGATTCGTCACTTTGTTGTACGGTTGTATCCTTATCAATTTATTAATAAAATGTATTTTTCAGGTAAAAAATGTTCAAGTTAGAGTCATACATTGCACCAATTTTGCTTAGTTATGTTGATAAGTACATCAAAAACTTCCGGTTGGAAGACTCTCAGGTGCCTCAGTTTACATCCCACTAGAGGCCCCGTAATAATTTTTGTTTGCAGGTTTCTTTATGGGGCGGTGATGCATCCTTTCATAACTTAGATTTAAGATTAGAAGTGCTTGAACAGGAATTACAGTCGCCTTTTAGCTTTATTTCTGGTCATATCAGGGAGCTTTTGATTCATGTACCATGGACGAAATTGACCTCGGAACCCATCACAATCACCATCAATACCATTGGTACCAATTAAAATGAACTTATTTCTTTCACAACCATAATTTCAGAATGCGTTTTAAAATTGAAAGACGCCAACGATAGCGTAGCTTCTGATACGTCCCCAACTAGAGACAAACATAAAAAAAGCTCTGGCCACAGGTTGACATCAAGAAATTTGAAATACATAAATAAAAAGCAATTTTTTAGGCAAGAAGTAGAGGCGCCCCCAAACTACGTGCAATTATTAATAAATAAAATAGTGAGCAATATTAGGATATTTTGTAATAATTTAATTCTCAAATATGTAGAAGAAGATATAGTCTTGTCTATGAATGTAAAACATTTGAAAGTAGAGTCCTGTAATGAGAAATGGGAAGCTGCTTACACAGGTAGTGATTTCTCCCCCCAAAAAAATTGTTTCATGAAAAATTTCCAGACATTTCCCCAACTCAGGTCGTAATGAGAAAAGTGATCGGCGTAAACGACCTAACAGTGTGTTTAGACAAAAGAAACGCGTCCGGAAAAATCGACTTTTACCAAGAACCCATGCTTTACCGTTGCTCAATGACTATGCATTTACTAAGAACTTATCATTCCTCAACCTCAAACAAAACTTCATTGACTCGTTTAGACGTCTATTGTAACAAAATGGAATTCAGCATGACTGAACAACAAGTCCCTATGTTCCTCCGCCTCCTTGTTTTACTCTCTGCCTTGCAACAAAAACAATTGAAGTCGAATAGTGACGCACAGGAGAACTCAGCTCAAACGCAAGACAGTAAAGGTTTCTGATTGGTATAAATGTTGGGATTTTTGCTAAATTATTGTTTAGATAGCGGTGGCAACACTGAGACATGGACCGGGTGGGCGTGGTCATACGTTTCATCAGTCTTGCCAACCCAATGGGATGAAAGTCTGGAAAATGAGCAATTTTTCAACCAATCGGGGCATATAATCCAAATCGGGTTTTACGTTGATAATGCTTCATTGACGTTTAAAGTATCTGAGACTAGTCATGATAAGGGATATTACAGCCAGAAAAAAATCCGTTATTATTCACTACTGACCCTCCAACTTCAGGGGATTTACTCAGAATTGATTTCGGTTGGGAGGAAATGGTCGAATGTGGGGTTTGGAGTCAGCGAAATCATGTTATTGCCAGTGGGGCCGTGCAGTTGTGCCCACCCTGAATCGGCCGAAGGGTTATTCCCCTATTTAGCCATAGGTTAGTATGAAAAATCCCCAAACTCGTTTAATAAACAAATGCAGGTAGCCAGTCATCAAATCACAAAAGTAACTCGTTATTTGACGCCCAAGCGGTCGAGAATCAGGGCCAGTACAGAAATTATAACACGAATTGGGAGTTTCACATGTTTACAAATACGGAAGCGGTGCTCCTGGAACGTACCCCAGCTTTTGCTTGTGATTATTTGTATCAAATGGAGATCCCCGATGATACTTCTAGTGATATTTTATCCGATTTAGGGAGCAACTTGGAGTATAGGTAACTCGGTTAATTAGTTTTACCAAAAAATAATTTTTTCCTAGTAATTTGACCGAAAAAGCAAACGTGAGGGTCTACATCGGTCCGTTGAAGTTCCGGGTGTGTTCTGGGTTTTTTCACCGGACTAGTTCGCTCCAAATGGCGTCATCTATGTACGACTATCCCCCCTATTATGTCCCCAAACCGGAACCGGTTTTAACAGAGTTGTTGCCTCCATCGGAGGAGGATTTTGATGCTTTGAATGAATTCATACCGACTAGAACAGTCAAAATTATGTTATTCCAACCTGTTGTTGAATTGCAATTTATGGATCATCCGTTTTTTGAGCCGGCCAAAGGCTCTTTGTTTAAAAAAATGAAAAAACATTCAACTTCTTTGCCTGTGATTCAACTCCATAAACTCCCGAAAGTCACAATTGAGTGCAAATTGATCGAAATTTGTCTCAGTAATCCGATGTATGTGAACCGACTAGTTCACACGACTTGTCAGCTCCCGGAACCTCCTCAAAAAATGTTTGAGGCGTGTTTCACAAAATTGAATGTTAATATAGTGGGTTTGTGTAGTCGTTTAATTCTTAAACAGAATAATTATACGACTCTCGTGGTCCCTTTTAATTTGTCGTATCAAAGTAGGAGTATTTTGAGTCCGCAGTATTGGGTCAATCCGAATGTGATGCACAGCGAAATTAATTTTCAGTCAGGTTAGAAACGATTAAATTGTGAATTTTCTCGATTCGTTGTGTTTTAGAAAGTCTGACTTTTAATTGTACGAAAGCTAAGTTGATTGTGGTGTCACACTTGATTAACAATATTTTTAAAAAAGATACAACGGGGCTTAAGAGTTTGCGGTATACGTCGTTGCTGTACGACGCCAGCAAAGATTATGGTAACAAAATAAAAAATTTTGTAATAATTTATCGTGAATTTTTTTAGCAATGCCGTATTTAGAATTATCCGTTGAAGGTCTCAGGTTTAAAAAAGTCTGTACGAATAGCACGGTCTCAATAGACTTGGCTCTCGAATCAATAAAAGCCTTTATTTTTGAATCGTACGAGAATGACAGTAAAAAAATCAACTCGGTTTCTGATATTCAACAAGTTTTATTTTTGTCAGGACCTGAACCGAAGACTACAAAAAAATCAAGGTGAGTGTGATTTATGACTAGTATTTTTTTAAATCCAGGGCAGTTTTTCAGAGGATTTGCCTCTTTTTATTGCCACTATTCAATATCCATTGAAACCGGAATCGCAGACGCATCCGTCGTTGGTTATTTTTAATTTGCAAGAAATTAATGTGTGTGTGGATCCTCTCGTGTGCAAATGGTTGTTGTACCATCCAATCAAAATCGGTGCTTATAGGGCAGAAGGTACAGTAGAAATCAAGTCTGGTTAGGTTTGCGACTTGACTAATATATTGTCTACTCATTTTGCTTTCTCTTTTATTTTGTTTTTCCTGTTGAATGTGATAATCTTATTTAAAAAAAAGATTTTGCCGTACAATTTGTGTAACAGTAAGATGGCAACTATGTTTTTTTGCAAAATAATAAAATACTCCGCATTTAAGAATACAAACAAGGGCAATTTTAATGTTTTACAAATGATGTCAAGTAGTGTGGGACCCATGTTTAGCAAAATGTTTCAGAACGTGTCCATTATAAGAGTTTGAGTTACTCGGAAGTTTACGGAAGCACTTCCGAAACTCCTCGGCGAAGTGCTCAAATCGGTTCAATTCATAGCAGTTCCGACCGAGAGATTATTTATGCACCTCAACAAAAATTACCACTGATTGAAGAAGAAGAACAAGTCGATGTGAGTTTTATCCGGTCTGGAGGTACATTGACCTGTCAATTTATTTCCAGTTACAAGAAAAAATTTACGAATTTTTGAAAACCTGGCATCCGGTTTGGAAAAGCATGCTTTTGAGTGGTCACATTTCCCAATGTATTATTTATTTTCCGATGGCTTCGATCTCGGCTGTCGGTTCTCAAGGTGTCGAGGAGGCCATCAGAGAGGCTTTGAATAAAAAATTGGTACCAAACGTAATGGTCATCACTTTGCCTTTTGCCAATATACACAGCGCCCAAAAACAAAATGTTGTGAAATATTTGAAAAAATTGCCGGTCAAATTGCCGGAAACAGTTTGGAATGCTGGTACGTTTCGATTTTTTTAACCGAAAGTGTTATAACCGAATTTTCAGACAGGTCAAGTTTCCCTTGGACGATGTCCATTTCGGATTTAAATTGCTACTCCATGGAAAATGGTAAAGAAGTCGCGTTTTTAAAAACAGTACGCATCAATGCAACGGTCGGCCTCTCAACCAAACCGGTTATAACCGATGGTAAAGCACCAGATTATACCCCTGCTGAAAGCACACTCGGCAGTCTCGGGGTTTACGTCCACATTGATGTTACTCCGATTATTATTTCGGTTTCGGAAGCCCAGATGTACCTCTTGGCGAGCTTAATTTACGGTTTAACTGAATTTTTCAACAGTTTAGTACCGAAAAAAACAATTGAAGTGCAAAAACAACCCGACTTGCCTTCCATAGTCACCGTAGCCAGTCCGTCCCTGTCCCCGACGGTCAAAGATCAGACTTTGGAGTCAAGTGGGACGATTCCAGGGCCGGACTCGAGTGACCCCAACGAAAATATTAAACTCACCGCGTGGATACAATGGACCGTAACGAAATTTTCAATCGAATTACTAGCACACGAAACAAGTGACTGTCAATTGAAACTGGTGATAGACGTCGAAGATATTGTTAGTAGTCTCGACTATCAGAATGTTTACTTGAAAATGAAGAGTAAAATCGGCTCGATTTCTGTACAACACTATAAAAAATATAAGGACCGTAATAAGTGGCAAAGGGGGTCTTTTTCCGGGGTTGTGGTACGACTGAGAGAGGATGTTGTCGAGAAGCGACCCGAAGAGAGCGGTTTTATTGGAATGACAATCACAAGGGCCAGCAGTCAACACACCCATAACCTATGGGGGACCGTTCAAAAAACAAAAAAAACAAATCTGGCAACGTCGCGTTACATCACTGAAATTGTCATTAGTGTCCAACCGATAGATGTCGTTGTTTCGATTAAGACACTCATGGGTTTCTACTCGATTATAGCCCCCTTTTTAGAGGGTTTTGATGAGACAAGTGTAACTGAAATCCCCACCAAAAACAAGCCGACTTTTACGAATCAAGCCCTCCCGCTTGCGTATCTTGAATGTCACGATATTCGATTGTTGGTGCCGTCGAGTGAGTTGGCAGGGGGTGGCAACCATGATGTTTTTGTGCTTCAAGTCGAGAAAATCGGACTAAGCCCAACTGTTCCGAATCCGATATGTCGGACTCCGATCAGACCCGATATTTACCGACAAGCCGCCCAAGCCAGGATTTTGACCATCCCCGGGAGCGAGTTGGAGGATAGACAGTATCAGTTGGATGTGACTGGGATGTCGGTTAGCAGCACCAGTTGGAAGGATTTGGAGCAGGTTTTGAACATGCGGGGGAATTCCCGAGGGATTAATGAGAATCCGGCCCTGGAATGGAATAATTTGAAACAGGGGAAGTTGAGTATTGTACCAATACTTAATTTGAAGCAAGTTGTTGAAAAGTAATGTTCGATTCTGTTAAGGTTTTGCTATTTGATTTTTGTTTTTTTTTTAGGTTTGATATCAGTGTAGTTGCGGCACCGACGATGGTTTATAAGAACGAAATTATTGTTTGTTGTAGTTCGTTTGAGATTAATTTTGTGACAGATATTGCGATTTTCTTGTCATTGGATCAATTGAAGTTGGTTTCGGCCTTAATTAACGAATTCAAGTTTCCTATTAGTGGAAATTTGGTCAAAGAACGGATGGAAATTACATATCCTTACACCAGATTTGATATTTTTAAGGATGATTTAGAAACGGAGCTGACGGAATTTTATAAGGATTCAGGGATTGATACGTCGGAAATTCGGAGTGTTTTATCGTCAAAGTCGCCAGTACAGGTAAGCACCAGTTGTTTTATTTTTTAATTGTATTTTTTGTAAATAAAAATATTGATCAAAAACACAACCCACAAACACAAAAAAACACAACTTTGTCACGATTAAAGAAAGCAAAAATAAATTTCGGAAGCAAAAATTGTTAAGAAGTGTTTTATAAATTAAATAGAAAAGTTTCCAATGCTTTACAAGAAATTTTTGTTGCTATTTGGTAACATTGAGGGTTATCTAATTCAAAAAAAGCGTGTCTAATTGTGATTTTTAATCTCAAATTGAATGAAAATGTACGATAAGAATGGTGGATGCGCCGGGATTTTTTTTTATTATACAGTGTTATTGTTACAAATTTAAATAGATGATAGATTATTCAATTTTAAGACAGAAGTTTTCATTTTTTGGTAAAACGAATTTAATTTTTAATTTTTATGCTTTGTGGTTTGTAATATAAATTTTGAAACTGGTTTTACTCAAAATCTGAAACTGGTTTTACTCAAAATCAGTAAGTTGTATCGGAAGACCTTTTCATGAAAAACTATGAAATTTATTATTTTGTTGCTGAAAGTGGCAAGAAACTACAGCCAAAATAGAGTACTTTTTACCTTAAACCCACTCAGTTTAGGAAGCTCCTGATTAAAAATTTGAACATTTTTTTCTTTGAATTTGCTTAGGTGTATAAAGGTTATCATCTGGTTATCACCCCCTTGGAGAGGGTGTAGCTCCCTTGCGTAGCATTTTTCGATACATGTTCATAGGAAACTTTTCTCTTAAAATTGAATATACTATCTCCTGTTTAAATTTGTAACAAAAAAACGGAACATTGATGAGGACGATTTTCGTTTCTACTTGAAAATTAAAAAAAGCCTAGCTTAGTTCTTGTTTTATCTTGCATTGAAATTTTTCAGCCGACCAAAGAAAAACACAAAGTTTCCGTACCATCCCAGAGTTTCAACGAAACACCATCTGAAATCCTCTTCACCGCCGGCAAGATCTCCTGTTGTCTGTACCAATTCTGCATTACTCAATCCCTTCAAAGCAGCCATCGCACTAAAAAAACGAAATATGTTGACGTAAGCAATTCCAATTAATCCCAAATCGAAATCCCAATTTTTACCTCATCAGGAAGAAGACCGCAATTACGAGGCTTCTGAGGAAGAAAGTGTCGACGAAGCGATTCGAAGCCACAAAAAATACGTCCCTTTGCTTTATTTCTTCGTGTCACAACCAAATGTGTATTCGTCGAAGCAGCAATTTGCGAATAACGTGCATTTGTCGTGTTTTGATGTGGGTATTAAACTCAACGACTCTAAAAATGTCCCGGTTTCATCCGTACCGACCATACAGGATTTCCCGGTTGACTTAGTAGTGACGCGGTCGGGACACCCTGATCTTGTCACGGGGATTCCCCCTGCTTTTTTTACTTTGAAATACACTAAAGAGCACGGAAAAATGGCGAATTTTTTTATTGACGTTTCAAGGCCGACCAAATTGGCTTGCTCACCGACAAAAATTACGTCTCTACTTACTATAAAAAATAAAATTCTTGAAACTTTCCCACTAGTGAGTGAGGTGAAGGAAGTTGAACCCGATTTGGGTTGGTTTAGACGTGTCAAAGATAATTTGAAAGGAATAGACACCATACAGTTTAAAACTGATCAATTGGTCGTAGTTGTGGAGACCGAAAACAATCTAGATGCCACTTTTACAATAAATAAGAGCAAGAATCGGCTTTTTTTGAGTGAGAGACCGGAGAAAATTCAAAGTTTTTCTACTTTAGAATGTATGACTTTGTCTGTGACAAGTAACAATGTGAAAAGACTACTTCTCAACCCTTGGACTGTAACTTTTGAATTTGGTGCTCTTGTCGAGTCATGGCAGCGCGACGATACTGAGCCCCAAATCCACTTGAGCATCGATAGCGATTGTTTATTATTAGATATAAGCCCTGAACAAATCATTTGCATGGAAAAAATCACCAAAGAATTGTCTGAATTCACCTCATATGTAAGTCCAAGTACCCCTTCGGACCCTAAAATAGTAATCCCGGAAAAAGACCAACACTACAAAGATGATCTAAGAGCTGGTGCTTTCCAATTTATCGAAGCCAGTGGTGCCAACAGCGAGGAATTGCCACTCCCCTATCAGGTCATGTTTTGGAATTGTAAAGAGACGAGTGCCATGGCTTGGAGATACCCCCAACCGCGGGCTTTGACCAAAGTCCGGATTTTTCCGGTCCCACTTGAGATTTCTATAGACCCGGAACCGACCCAAGTGACTTGTAGCCTCCAGTATTGGTCCGATTATCACTGCAGTTATATACCCTATGCCCAGTTTAGTCTATCCGAAAGTGAAGTGTGCTACCTTGATTTACCCAAAAGCGAACCCCAGAGGGCGGTAGCGTATATTTGGAGGGTTGTTTTGACCAGTTTAGACTCAAACGGGAGAAAAATCAACCGGAATGTGATTTCGCCACGCGCCCTAGCGGCTTGCATGCGAATTGATTCCTATTTCAATAAAGCTATAGTGCCTAACTTCACTGCAGTGTTGTATGTTTCCAAACTCGAACTCTCATTGGTGAATAACTTTGACAAGGGTATGTCACTGGTGCCGTTAAGTTTCCGACATTTCACCCCAGATCAAGCCATTCCTGCCAACCATACATTCCTGAAGGTTACTTCGACTAATTTGAGGCTCCACATGGCCCACTGGGATTCGAACATGCTCTATTGCGATCTTACCTCACATCTGAGTTGCTCAACCATCGATTATACTTTTCTCACCGAACAAAGTCTAGTTGACCAATTCATGTTTAAACTTGAGTTGAATTTGGCCAAAAAACTGACATTGGGAGTGGTTTCAAACCCGATTCGGATCATTTTCGGACCTACAGTAGCACACACTTTGACAGTAAATTCGCAAATGTGGGCCCAAAAATCACTCGAGTCGGACCACGACTTGGTGATTTTCACACGATATGTCATTTGTAACGACACAAATATCAATCTGAGGTTCGGACAAGTCGGAACCGACGAAGACATTCTATTACCGAGTCGATCTTTTCACTTGTATTGTTGGAGATCGTCGAAAAGCAAAAGAAAGTTGAAAGTGGCATTCGAAGAGAGAGGATGGTTGTGGTCGAAACCGTTTCGAATAGACGAAGAAGGTACACATTTTGTGGCTCTGAATTTAGAAAATAATTTAAATGTGATTGTGACGATCAAGGCGCTGTCGACGAGTCAAAAACAAGTGACGATCGGGGGACAATTTGTCATTGCTAACATGCTATTGGAGCATTTCGAGTTTAAAATCATTCCCGAATCGAGGGATGATAAGGAGTTGAAAAGAGCACCGGTTCATGTCTTGGGTGGCAAGACTATCACGCCATCTATGTTTATCGACAGTCGGTTGAATTATTTCTTTCGGTTGAGGTTTTTCGGGTTGGATTCGGCGTGGACTGGCGACATTCCCCTCAAGGAGCACACGAAAGGGGCCCAACCGTGGCTGGTCAAAGGTATAGATTCTAGTAAAATTAGCCAAGTCGTAAACCTTATAATATTTTTTTTTAGTCCCGTTGCAGGAACGTGGGCAATTTTTAAGCATTTGGTGTCGCATTGTGGTCCAGGATTGCCAAAAGGGCAAACGAATTCTGGCAATGTTGTGGCCTTTATTTATGGTTAAATCCAATCTCCCCATAACGTCAAACATTCATATTGAAACACCGACTCTGAATGTACATCTCGATTCGAGTGTGCGAGGCAAAGGCGAGTTACAGCAACTCTACTGTCCTGGAACTATCGATCATTCGCACCAATTGACTTTCAAATTACAGTAAATCAAGCTTTGAGGCGTTACAATTCTACAAATTTTTTTTTTAGTGATGGGACATCCATTTCGGACCCTTATATCCCTCTAAATTATAGTTTAGTCGATCAACAGAAATTTTTTAAGAAGGCTGATAAGGAGAACATCGACGATATTTTAGACAGTTTGAGGAATTTTGACGTTTCGAAGTGGCCCTACTTTGGGGAAGACTTAGAAAAAGTTGAATGGATAGTCGAGGAACAACCCCAAACAACTATTCAAGTCCGATACCAAAATGCTTGTCAGTATTCAAGTGCTTTATCAGTCGAATTGTTACCCTGGTGCTTAATGGTGAATACTTTCGGTTGTCCCGTTTCGTTATTCATGAATGGGACTGAACTGTGTCGAATCCCGCAATACGGGATAGTAGCCCCACCTAAACTTGACGTAAGTAACCACAAAGTGGGATAACCCGGCCTTAAGTTTTTTTCCAGGACAATTTTCATCTGGGTGTTGATACTGGGGGTGGTTTATCCTATTCGCCGCCTCTCCAATTGTCGACGTCTGATTGGAGTCAGACGTTTTACATGCCGAAAATTTCGGGCACTTTACCGCCAGAGGGCAGCATTAAAACTACAGTCAAGTGCGGATCTGATGTATGATTTTTTAAATTTTTCTTCTTAGATTAACAAAAAATGATTCAAGGTCGCAATGGTGTCACTCACAAGCGTTATTTCGGATCAGATTCGTCTCTTGAAAATCTCCTCGTCCCATGTTTTTAGTAATTATCTGCTGAATCAAATTCAGGTTGTTTGTTTTGCCGTTTCTGACTGTGATAAAGTGTTTAATGTACCCGTGAATATCGAAAAGTTGTCGTTTTCGGTCGCCCCACAATTGGATAAGACTAATTCCGGGATTTCGATAATTCGGTGGTATGCCCTAGAGGCGGAAAATTCGGACTCGAGTACGAATTATGCCTTTTATGTTTCATTCTGTTTGCAATATGAGTTTGGATGGTCGTGTCCGGTGAGGGTCGACGATAATGTCTCAAGAAGGAGTTTGTCGGTTAGGACTTCGGGGAAAAAGTGGGTAAGGATTTTGTAATATTTAAGAAAAATTCACCGAAAATCTGTTCGGAAACGTACACCCAGGGAAAAAAACTATTCACCAGTCTAATTTTTTGCTAACACTGCGCTTTGTTACAATAGTGTTTCCGACTAACTAGAGAAAAAAATGCATGCCCATGTATTTCATTATCTTAACAAAATTTTTGTGATTTACTTTTAATTTTATTAACAAATAGCTAGTTTCTTCCGTTTTTTATATTTATTTTTATTACTTCTAAACAAAGCAAAAAACCCAAAGTGGTAAATTTAATGCCGTAATAATAATAATAATAATAACTAATATTATAAAGTATGTCCCCGGATTTTTTTATTTTACGCTAACACTGCAAAAGAAAAACATTTTTTGCTTCACCTGAAACCAGTAAGTCTGTAATTTTAAAAGTTCATTATTTTCACTCAATGGAAAGAAAATTTAATTTTCCTGCTTTCTGCACAAATGCCTCCGATTTAAAATTTATTTAAATTCAAATTGTTGCTGAATTATTGCAAAATTATTGCTATATGGGTCTAAATAGGTCTTAAAAACATTTCACTCCCATTTGGACTTCTTTTCTAAAAATTTAGGGAGCATGAGTGACAAACAAGACGAGCGTTTTAATCAAGATCAAAAGGGTTTTCAAAGATTGACACGAAGGTTTTTGGGATGAAAATATGTTAGTAGATTACTGTTGGATTGTTATAAAGAAAACTGACCCAAAAAGTATAATAATAAAACCAAGTAAAATAACTCACATTTAATATGTTTTTTGGCGGTTTTTATATTTTTGTTAATTACATATTTTTTAAACGTGGTGGACTTTTTTAAATAGTTTTTTTAACTCAAAATCTATAAAAAAATTAAGGTATAAAAATCGTGTAAACTAGAGTAATTTTTTCTCTTCGTTTTAAATCCCACATTGGCGTTTTATTTTTTTGACACTGATGTCGTTTTGACAGATGAGTTATTAGCGCAAGTTAAATAACAAAAATGTTTGTAAAAAACATAATTTTAATAAATGGCAAGTCAAAAAATAGCTCCTTGAAAAAGGCATTTTTAACAAAAACAATTATTATTCAATTAATTAATTAATTGTCAAAATGACATCGTTGTTAAAAAAATAAAATCGCCAATGTGATGGGACTTGAAAGGCAAAGAAAGATTATTGTTACAAGTCCAAAAGTAACAAAAAAAAAAAACTTTTCTTTCCACTGAGTCAGAATAATGAAGTTTTGATTACAGATTTGCTGGTTTCAGATAAAGCAAAAACAACCCTTGCTGTTAAATTGTTACTTTATCTACTTAAAAGAGTTGTCAAAGAAATAGTTTAACATCTGCTATAGAAAAAAAAGTATTTCCTTTGCTTTTTTTGGCGTAAAATCAAAGGTAAAAATTTGTTTCCTTTTGACTGGCTATTATAAAATGTATTATTAAGTTCAGAATTTTGATTATAAAGAAATAACTGGATAGAAATTGGCAAAATTCACAGTTTATTAAAAAATTCTGGCATTTAAAACTAGTCCTACAATATTGATTTTTGAAAGCTGTAGATAAAGAACCTTAAAAGTCAAGTCGAGCTAAAAATGTTTTTTCTTTGCAGTTTTGGCAGAAAGTCGAAGATAAATTTTTTTTTCCTCTTGTAAACTTAATCCGGGAACATACTGTGTACTTGCAAAATACATTTCTTAAATAAATTTATGTATTTGTAATTTGATAATTTGAGCAAGCTTGTTTATTATAATTACAATTTAATGTATACGTTATAATCAATGCTCATTGAAGTAATTTTCACAAAAAGACATTTTTCGGGTCCGGACCAACTTCCTAAATAAGGGTTTTTCTACATATTACCTGCTTTCCAACTCTTCAACTAGTCTGAAACGCTATTGCGACAAAGCCCAGCCCGAGTACAAAGTTAGACTGGTGAATAGTTTTTTCCCCGAGTGTACAATCATTTGAGAACTGCAAAATTTCTATCTTCAATTATTATTTTTTTGGCTATCTTCTCCTTACTCGAAATTGAACAGATTTTTCTGTAAATAAATATTTTTATTTGTATTAATTTTTGGCACAGATTCCTCTCGTGTTGACTTCACAAGAACGCAAAGGCCAGACTTACCTCTCGTTATTCCACGACGATTGCCCTCAAACCCTTATAGAAAATAAAAGTCCGGTATCTCTGTACTGCGGACAAGCAGTTGGCGAGGGTGGGGCTGCAGTACCGGAATCAAAACATTTCAAATGGGTCTCGAAACTCGAATGTGGGACCAGCGTTTACTACACCATGCCTTTCGTTTCGGAAAAATTCCCAGAATTACCTCAGACTTGCTTCAGTGAAAAAATAGTATTTGCAATAGGACCGAAAAGTACCCAACCATTCATGATTCTTATAAAGTTGAAACTAATTTGAATTTTTTTAAGGCGAAAATGATAATTTTGAGTGGTCAAGTGCCGTGAGTATCGTCAACGATTCGGAACAGTTCGTCAAAATACCTAATTTTGGCGACGTCAGATTGGTGGTTAAAGTCACATCTTACACCACTCTGTTGTCGATAGAGTCGGTAAGTGAGGTCGAAATTAACGCGATTGACATCAGGGGGCGCTTATCGCGCCATGAAATGGAGACAGTACTTGGAAAAAATGACAATCGGCACAAAGTAAGTTTCCATGCCTACTTAAATCACTTGACTTATTTTAACTTATTTAGGGTGTTGTCACTGATAATTACCAAAATTCACCAAAAGTACTCCCAAATTTATCTCTCTACCAGTCATTATTCAAACCAACTCTCCCTTTGCAAAATAATTGGGAATCGATCGAAATTTTCGCATTTCTTAAATCCTTCAGTCTCGTATTTCTCGCTGATCATAACAATGATTTAGAAAAGCAAGGAGTTGCGAGTTTTAGTTTTGACGATTTGGGAGTTGAGCTTCGGCAAAGTGACGATTTGAAAGTGTCACTTTCTGTACTAGACATCCAATTTGACAATGAGTTATACTCGAAAGAATCATTCGACTTTCCGGTGGTTGTGGTAGGTCAGGACCAAAAACCAAAAAGTAGTACCAACATCATAGAAAAAAATGCGAAAGAATTGATCAGAGACAGTGACAGTGTGTTGATTTTGGATCTGATAGTAGAGACTTGGTTTGATGATTTGCGAAAAAAAAATGTGACAGGAGTAAAAGAAGTTAAGGTGAAATTAAATTCACTTTCTATATACGTCGAAGATTTGTATATTAATAAATTGGTGGAGTATTTCACTCATTTGTTTCCCATGCGACTGGCAGGGGGGCCAAAACTAGAGTCCAAAGCAACGTCCAAAAGCGTCTCAGTTAGAGTCCCCGAGTTGGTTTTCTGGAACTCTTCAGTAATCGCGAGGCCTTTGAGTCTCAAAAACATCACAGTGGAGCCATTGTCGCTCCTTTTGTCCGTCCATTGTTCCCTAAAAATGTATATAGCCCTAGACCAGTCCCCTCTCCAGTTTGCCCGTTTCGAAAGACGCCGACTTTTGACGACCCCCTATCGCTTGGGGCACGCAATGACCATGCATTACCTTTCGGGGGCCATTTTTGGGGCCGGTTGGGTCGTCAGTTCCCTAGAACTGCTTGGAAGTCCCAGTGGACTTGCCCGCGCTATGGGTATAGGACTTCGCGACTTTATCAATTTGCCTTATCGAGGGCTTATACAGGGCCCCTGGGCTTTTCTTACTGGTGTGACGCATGGCTCGGCCTCCCTTATGAAACACGTGACAGCTGGAACGTTGCAATCTGTGACGAAATTGGCTTCTAGTGTTGCAAGGAATTTGGACAGATTGACTCTAGATGAGGAACATTTGAGACGGACTGAGGAACAGAGGAGGCAGAAGCCCCAAGGGGTGACTCAAGGATTTATGCAGGTATTTTCATTATTTAAATTGGGGAACCCCCTAAACTGTATCCCATAAAATAAGAAACCAAAAAGGCATAAAAATCATTTATTTATAATTTCTGTAAGAATTTTTGAATACAACAAAAGTATTACAATTTTTGTTTAGGGTTTGACCGGGCTTGGTATCAGTCTTTTGGGGGCTGTGGGAGGCATCGCTCATCATCCGCTTCAGAGTATAATGGCCGATGGGGCATCGCCGCGGTCTCTCGCAGCAGGTGTAGGATTGGGGCTAGTGGGAGTTCTAACAAAGCCTTTGAGTGGGGCTGCCGAACTGGTGGCCTTGACTGGTCAAGGTATAATGATTTTATATTTACAGTTTTGGAATTAAAAATTCCGATTGCAGGTTTATTGCAAGGAGCAGGTTGGAACCCCCTACCGCAACCTAGGAGTGACCTTGTCAGCAACCTGACTCTCCTAGATTCAAACTCAGTGTTAAAATACGAATGGAAACTACTAAACTCACTGACTTATAAAAATGTGCTTTTTGCGACTGAAGCAACGATTTTCAACGATTCAGATTTCAAAGGAATTGGGTTGGTTTTAACACTCGATGCTTTGATTATTGTGAATCTTGATGATGATAATGTGAAACGGATAATTAGTTTAGGGCAAATTCAAGTCGTTGCGAGTGATAACGACCCCACTTATTTATCCTTCAGGATTATGAAACAAAAGTGTGAAGAGGAGTGTGTGATTGAGATGGACCCGGCGTCGAGGGCCCGGGTCGCCGATTATGTTAGAAGCACAGCGAGTTTGTTGCAACTTCCTGAAGTTAACCAACATTCCGTAATTATGGACGATATCAACGAACAGATTAATTGTTATGTGAATCCGCAAAGTCGGAATTATTTTGTTTGTCTGCTGTCACTAGCTAAACAAATGAACAGTAATTACAATTTTCCCGTGTTATAAATTGTTTTAATAAAAAAAAATCGAATTAATTGATGTGTTTAAATTTCCCGCTGTAGGAAATGTTGATGTAGTGGTTTTGGTGCTAGTCAGCTGGTGGCGGTAGCACTGCTCCAAACGCAAAATGGCGAATGTGCGTGACAGCGATACGTCTTTATGGTTACACAATAAACTCGGAATTTCGAACGATTCCTGGACGGGGGGCTCAATATGCTCGCAATTGAACGCCGAAGTGTTACGCAATATCAAAGACTGTTTTCCCGATCTTCAAACACAAGTGAAATTAAAGCTTTTGTTGAGCTTTTTTCACATCCCGCGCAGGAACCTCGAAGAAGTATGTTTACAAAATAAAAGCCCTCACAGTTTTCATTTGTCGTTATTAACCCTTTAGTTGTGCTGTTTTTAACTTTATTATCAAAATAAAGTTGTTTGAGGTTATGACGTACTCACCTGCTGTTTTTTTAGTGGAAGTTAGAGTTGGAGCAAATCCTCGATGTGGCCGTCGCAGATTCGGAATTGTGGGTCGCGATGTTAGCTGAGGCTTTAAAGACGTATCCTTCGACTGGGTCTTTGAACACAGAAATTTCAGATTTGGACGAAGTGAGACCAATCTTCACAGATTTAGTTACAGATCTTCGGAAACTAGTTCGCAAACAAGCTGAGAATGTTATGCTACCAATGGAGTGCCACTATTTAAATAAATCAGCCCTTGTCTCTGTTGTAAGTGACATACGTCACTTGTCACTGTTATAATTTTATTTTTGTCAGGTTGGTCATAAACCAGAGCCTACTAAACATTTCACCATCAAAAAGAAACAAAAATCGGCGACTTTACGAGCTGATTTATTACAAAAGTCATCAGATGCTGCATCTAATCTCAAAAAGTCGTCAGCTCCGGTCATTCCAGTGCGTTCAAGAGGCATGCCGCGTAAAATGACTGATACAAGTATGTATGACTGTCATTTGATAGACAGTTGGTAACATTGTTTTTTATAGCACCCCTGAAAGGAATCCCAAGTAGAGTCCCCACATCGGGCTTCCGATCCGGCGCATTAAACAATAATATAAACAATCGGCCTCCATTGGCCCGCCCCCCGGCCGGACGTAAAGAAGGCGGAGTTAAACTTCTCGACATCGCTGATCAACCTCTCGGATACGCTGCGGCTAAAAAACGCAAAAAGATGCAAGAAATTGAAGATGCGAAGAAGAACACAGAAAACGCTGCCTTACAAAGCCCCCCGCCTGTTTCAGGCACTACCACTACTCCCGATTACGCAGCTGGCCTAAGCTCCACCCCGGCATACGCCCCTCCCACGCCACAACCCATTCTCACACCGACCAGTAAGTATAATCAAGTGTGTTTTTCCATCAATTTATTTATCTCCAGCCGCGTCTTCCATTTTGACAACTGTGGCAACGGCGCCAGTGACCACAGTAACGACGGCACAAATTGCAACACCCACTGTAAAACTGGCAACAGTGGCGGCTACACAGTTGCCAACTATGCGACCTGTGCCGCCACTATTGGCAACTACGCCAACTGGACAGAGGACGATTTTAACGGACCAATCCGTGAAGGCTGTGGGACAAGTGTCAAATATTGCGATTGCGCAGAGGACGACTCAGGCCACGCCTACTGTGACGCATATCAGGATTCAGCCACAGACGACGTCAAATGCTTTGCAAAGGCGGGGGCTAGCCTTAACGGTGGGTTTTTTATAAGTGTCAAAAAATTTCTATCTTGAATTTTTTCACCAGAGGGAGCAAATGTTGGAAGCTCAGGATATGTTCAGAACTGCGAACAAAGTGACAAGACCCGAGAAGGCGTTGATTTTGGGATTCATGGCAGGATCAAGGGATAATCCTTGTCCTCATTTAGGGAATATTGTTACTATTAAGTTGTCAGAGGATCAGGAAAATGTCTTGCAACCTGACGATACTTATCTCACTATGGTGGCAGAGACTCATTTCCAGATGAATTACAATAATGGAGAGTGGAAAAGGATAAAAAAGTACAAACATATTGATAATGTTGTTAATCAGATGCCACAAAATGCACCAGCTCCTGCTGTCATTGGGAATTAAGAGATTTTTTGTTATTTATTTAAATATAAGAATTGTGTTTTTTATTGTAATTCGTAAGAAAGAAATATTTATTTACGATTTATAAAGTTTAAAAAAAAATCGAATGTAACGTTATGTTAGGTGACCAGTTTGATAAACTGGACGTTAAGTTTGCTGTACATATTTTGTAAATATTCTAATTTGTAAATAACTGAATAAAAAGCTAAGCGCCATTTTGATTTTTCTTCACACACTTCACACAAAAAGATTAACAAGAAACATCCATTTTCTCGTTTGAAGTAACATCACAAACCGTCAGTTTGACTCCCACCGGGACACAAGCATCCCACATCCCATGTAAAACCTAAATTTTCCATTAAGATGAACTCATTACAACAACAATAAATTTCAAGGTTGTAAGTCGTTTACTTATTTTTTCGGTAATTTATTAATGCGATAAAAATGTAAACACTGGCGACGATAATGTGCACCAGAACAAAACATAAATGGAATATGTGTCTCTGGGGACGGCATTGTTTGGTGTAGACGCAACAAACTGCATTTCAGATATAAAGCACACTCGTCCTGAAAAAAACTAAAAAATAAATGAAACGAGAGTAAAAAGTGTGAAATGAGGGACAAAAAGCCTCCTCGATGACCCGTTTTGATATTTATGTAACGAATTATTCCGATGCTAAAAAGCGAAATGATATTTCGGGGTGTTATGGCAAAAAAGTTCGGGCTGTTACGAGTAGGGAGTGTTTTTAGCGACAAAAGTTTGAAATTCTGGATATTTGTTTTAGCGGAAAAAATGAGAGTTTGGGGTGGATTATAGTAGTTTTATTTTGTCGTAGGACAATTTAATTGCTTCTTTATGCAATATCACAAGTTGTAATAGTGCAAAAGAAGTCAAAGTACCTCAAACTTTCCTTCCTCCCCACGCAATTTTTAATTAATAATACTCCCATAGTTTTCCCTAAAAAGCCACCATTTTGTGATAAGCGCAAAGCTAGAGTCGATCTCTCCTCATTACAATCTTTTATTCCTTTTATATAAACTTCGTCGTCTGCAATCAAGTGGAAACAATTCATCGATCGTCACAATTCTATTAACTCAATAACATCTCTAAAGTTTACAATTAAGCCACGTGTAATTAATTACAAGGGGTGTTTTAGTGATAAATCACAGCAAAGACTTAATTGCGAATTTTTGTAGGTGTGTAAGGGGTACATTTCTGTTGCGAAGTCACATATTGCAGATTTCTCAGGTCTGTGGCTTGGCGAAATTTACAGATCCAAGATATGGTGTAGTCTAGACGCACCAAGTGTTTTCATAAAGTTTGGCTTTTGCACCCTTACTGCGACATAAATATCGCTACAAATTCCGAAATTTTGAGATAAAAAATTAGTTTGTAAATCTAACGATCAGTTAGTTCGGAGTTTGAAGGGGAAAGTTTAATAGTATTCCGGCACCTCCGCCATAAAGACCGTTCGATCGGAATACAAGCACCCACATGCGAAATTATTTATTCGCACAAATTAGCCACTTCTCCGTACTGTTTATTTTTATTTTATACACAATTGCTCAAAATAAGAGTTGTGTTTGTGTTCGCCCACACTGCTGGTCGATTTTCCTGTAATAAAAGCTAAATCTCCCGTTGTTTCGTTTAAAAACACTGATGCTCTAGTGGTGAACAACGTCACGTAACCACTTTGCCCGTCTCAAATTTCAACTCGAACATCTCCTCCATCTGCAAATATGTATGTGTGGAAATAACAATCGTAATGCATGGGGTGAAGCGAGAACGTTTTATGCTCTATTGTTGCACTAGGATTTGCCCTATTTCTATTTAAGTGCACTTCTGAATGGAGAAAATCCATGCGAGGGTTGTGGAAGATGCACACGTGGATAATTTTCCGAGATTTGGAGCATTAGATAAACGGGGTTTAAAAGGAGAAACAAAAAAATTGACTGTTACTTTATTGATCTTTCAGATTGTATCAAAGTTTCTTCAATAAAAAGCTTATTGGGAGCTTATAAATAACCGGATTTGAAAGTGATACTTTTCGTTTATTGTTCGACACCAAATCGATTCGTTGAATTGACATTTGTTCTATTATGTACACAGTCACGAAATTTTAGGCTACAAAAACTTATTTTTTCTATTTTGCGTCCGAAAGAAAGCTCCATACCAAAACCGAGCCATTTTAACACCGATTCTTGTGCTGAAATAGACTAGTACAATTTAGTTTCTAGAAGTTGGTAATGGTGATTTTCAGCGGTGTTTTGGGCATTTCTCTCATTTCAGGTGGTTGGCATGAAATATTTGCAGTATTCATAGTTAATTCAACAAATTTTTGATAATTATTCGAGACTTGACACTTCGAAGAACGAATTTTTTAAACTTTGTGACATTTATTACCAACCACCATCTTATTAAGGCAAAAGTTAAAAATTTAGTTTAAATTTTGAAAAATTGACTTTTATGTCAAAAAAAGATGTAAAACGCGCAAAATACAAAACTTCATAAAAAAACTTGTTTCATAAGTCATTTGTGGGAACTTAGTAGTATTTTTGTTTGAATTTTCTCATGACATTGAAACACTATTTGGCAATTACTTAACCTTTGCATAAATTAGTGTCTCATCGAAACGTTCTAAATCGTCAGCCAAGGTCTTCAATTTCATAAATTTTTTACTAAAAACTTATTTTCAGCCATTTTCCTTGAATAAGACAAAATTACCTTGAAATAAAACCCCGGTTTGCTCACTTGTAGAACCACTTTTCAGTAGCTCTTATCAAAGTCTGGGACAAGTTTTTCGAATAAAGTCAACTACTCGTCTAAACTAATTGCCTTTATTTACAATAGTGGTCTGAGATACACAAAAATACTGAAAATAAATAGAATCCTCTTAAACATCTACCACAATGTCACTTTTAATTGGCTTCCAATGCACGATTACTCTTTGCGAATCCGGTGCCATTCCAAACGGCCTTGTATTATCCGAAGCAACATATCGATTAACTTGATAGTCAAGTAGTGTCTGGTAATGATAAACGTCGGTTCCCAATTGCTGAAATTTGGAGTCAAAAACGACGAAAAATAAGTTAAAATCATTTTTTACCTGAGTCAAAGGGCTCGTATTCGTCGTAAATATTCCCTCGAAGTGTCTCTCTGTCGCCAACTTAAGCACTTCGTCTTCCATAAATTGCATAACCGCTACATTCTCTTTGGGCGATAAACTTGAATGAGTGCCCATCATAAACGAGTGCAGGATTTTGCCCTTAGCGCCAGGAAGATACTTGTCTCTAATAATTAAATAAATAAAAAAAATATTAAGTTTTATTTTAATATCCTACAAAATGCGCTTTTGGGTTTCTCATGCGAAATTGTGTGAGAAAACATGAGGATTTTTAGTTTAAGTACCTAATCGGAAAATTGGTTTTCTACTTTTGAAATTATTTCGCCCACGCAAAGTATAGCTTTGTTCGACCACGAGTTTTTATAATTCGATAGAAAACTGAGCACATATATGTATACTAAAAGGATTTCATCATAAGGCTCACAGTTTACGAAAAAAAATAGTAAAAAAAAAGTTTTCAATTCGTTGAAATTTTGAGAATTGAGTTATACAAATTTTTTCAATTTAATTGTAATTGCTTGTAATAATTTGGAAATTTATGGAATTATTAAAGTTATTATTGGGTTGTTTGGAATCACTATAATTATAATCACTATGACTACAGTTTTTTTTAGAATTTTTGGAGATAATTTCTTTTGCAAATTGCGCTGAACTTAAAACTATCAGAAAGAATTTGAAATTACAGAAATTGTTTTAGAAGAATTACGAAATATAAGTTGGAAATACAGGAATTAATTTGAAAGTCTAGGAATTAATCTGAAAATTTAAAATTAATAAAATTACTGAATTTGAATGAATCCATTATTAATCAATATCGACTTCTAATCAGTAGAATTACTGAAAAATTTTGACAATTTTTTTTTAATTACTTATCGTAATTATTTATGAATTACTAATTTTTTTTGAAATTACTAAAAAACTTTTTCGAATTACTGGAATTATTAAGTTGGAATTAAGTTGTATTTAGAGAAATTAATTTGAAATTATACAAATTAATCTAAAACCAATGGAATTACGACGAAATAATAGAGTTACTGGATTTGAATTACCAGAATTAAATATTTGTAAATTACTAAACTTTTTCTAGAATTATTAGAATTTTTTTAGAAGTACTAGAATTCTTTTTGGAATTATCGGAGATAATTTATTCTTTTAAAAATTACATTGAACTTCTTAAAACTATCGAAATTAATTTGGAATTGCAGGAATTATTTTGGAATTATGATAATTAAGTTGGAATTACAGAAATTAATCTAAAAACAATAAAATTTTGGTGGATTTTTTTCTTGTTGTAATTGGAATTAGTTGTTTAGCCTCTCGGCTAAACCAATCAAAGCGTTATAAAAATTAGATTTATGAAAAGTGTTGCGGGAAGTTGATTGGTGACAAGAGAACCGGAAAATATTTCTTTTTGAAAAAATTTCTAAAACCGGAAAATGGATTCAAAATCAATTCAGATGCAGTGTAAGCGCAGATAAGATTTAAAAAATTCGCATTTTCCAATTATTGATTGAAAATAAGTGAGACAATAGTTGGAGTAGATAAAAGTGGGATGGTTTAGATGTATAAAAAAGCTTACCTCACGGGACCCTCAACCGCTTCAAGGAACTCAAATATCACAGTCAATTTCGAAGTAATTTGTACATCGGGCTCATCCCTTGCATCGAAATTCAGTCCCACTCCGATTATTTTCCCCGACTCTGCTTTCGCCACGAAACTTAAAGCTTTCTCAACGAGAGGCTCCCAAAGAGCGTCCATAAGCTCCTTATAGTCTGACTCGAAAATATCGGGCATTAGCCATTGCTCCAAGTCGGCCTTTTGGTGAAAACTCGTCGTAATAATACTAAAACAATTCCGTCAACCCCTCACTCAAAAACTCACTCAAATCTTACTCGAGAACCGCCGATTTGTGCTCGTTTTTGAGGAGTTCGGCCGTGTAGGTCGGCGGCGAACAATGAATGTCGTTAGACGAAGTCATACGTTCCAAAACTTCTCCTAAATCAATCGCTGATAGGAAATCTCCGATACCTGGAAGTGGTAATGAGCGAAATTTCGATTAATCCAAGCTGTGATTACTTATGTGATATCCCTCTTCGTTGAGTCGGGTGATGGTGTAAATGGAGTTGAGTGAGTTACCCCCAATTTCGTAAAAGTTTGCATCGAGGGAAATCGCCGAACGAGCCGATCTATTTAAAACGGAAGCCACAGTATCGAAGAGAACTTTAGCTGCGGCCATTTGAGACGGCTTCACGCCGGAATAGTCGATATCGATTTCCACACAAGAATCGTCTAAAATGGGTTTTTACATTATAAAAAATCGTTAATTAATGTTAATAATTTTTTTCGAAAAAAAAGTTTCAAAACTTGTTTGGATTGACATGCAAATTTATTTCTGGTTACTAAACCAGAAATAATACAATACTATATAAAATTACCTCATATTTTAATAATTGTGTTTTGCATTATCTTTTTATAAACATTTAATTTTCACACATTGTTTCCTTATCTTTTTTTACCTGATTTCGGACTTTTATTAAAAATCGGATGTTATTCAAGTTCAATTCTTTTTGTTGAAACTTTAAAATTTAATATTTTATCAATTAATAATTACGATAATTAAAATGTGAAATGGAATAAAAGTGCTAATTAATCAAAGATTTAAAAAATTAAACTATCCATAATACTAGAAAAAATAGGTAGGTATGAGTATACGTATTTAGATTAGATTTATTAATAAAAGTCCTTTTAAAAAGTTTTTCAATTCTTTTGAAGTCATTTGCGAGAATATCTTGCATTCAATCTTTTTGTGTCTAAATTTTAAATAACTAAATAGTAAGTAAATCTTACAGAATGCATTAAATCAACATAGGGATATGTATTTTTTCCAACACTAATATTTTATACTCTTTCTTTAATTTAAGCTCTTATATTGTCGTTAATAGAGCTTGGATTATGAAAAACGCCCTAAGCCATAACTGCATTATTTTTAAAGAAATGACAATACTTTCTATAACAAAGTTGCACAGTTTATTGTCATTTACTTTTTGCGTTCAATGCTCAATCAACGCTATTTCCTGTTTCACCAAAACTGATATCGATTTCAATTTTTTTTTTGAATGAAACATGAATGAAACACCCTTTATATTTTATTATTTTTATATTTTTCGTTAAATTGTCTTTCAATAAGCTCACCATTTATTATTTTTTTTATTTTTTAAAATTTAAAAATTCATTTTTATTCATTTTATCTAAGACAAGCACGTTTGCCTGTTAGCAGTCGTTACTGATAACAGTGATAACAAAGAACTGTTCAAATTTGATCAAAGAAGTATTGTAACGTGTTTAAAAGTAATGAAATTATGACTCTGGGCGTTATTTATAATCCAGCCTGTGTACAGGGTGTATCAGAAATAAGTGTATTAATTTTACCACGTGCAAGAACTTACCAAGTAAAACAACTTTATTATATAACATTTTGCAAAATTCTTATTAATTGTTTTTCCCCATAATGTTGTGTAAACGAGCCGTTCAATGCTATTAAATAATCACAACAATGCAGTTCTTTTAATATAGCTCCGTTTCTATCACAACGAAAATATTTCGGAATTTTTAATTTGGTACCCATGCCCAGGCGGGTATACATTTTGATATGTTATCTTTGCCAAATTTTAAATCAAATTTAAAAGCTTTTATTGAAAAATTACAAATAGAAAAAATGTATTATTATCGAGATGTGTTACATGTTAAAATTAACACTCGTATTTCTCATACACCCTGTATAGGCTTTTCTATAAAATACGTCGTCAATCACAACGTATTTTATAAATACATAAAATACTCTTATCTTGACTTTTTGACATTATTTTGACAATTTTATTTGTAAGAATTTCTAAATTTAGTAAAATTTCTATTCAATATTAGTGTTGGGAAAAATTTCAAAACATAAGTTTTATAGTTAAAAAATCTAGGTCTATTATTTAATTCTTAAACTGTCTATAAAACTCTTGTCATCTATTTTGAACTTTTTAACAACTTTCCAAAAAAGTATAAAGTCAGAACAAAAATGACTTATCAGTCAAAAGAAAAATAAACTACAGTTCATCTGTTATACGGCGATTGATAATCTAGACAATTAAAGCACTCGCTATAAAAAAATTAGTAAATTTTGCAAAACGCATTAAATAAACGTAGGGTAAGTATTTCTTGTACCTTTTAACAATTTTTCATACTAAGGATCACAAAGAAAATGACTTATTAATTAAAAAAAAAACTACAACTCGTTATATTCGTTGTTATACGGCGATTGATAATCTAGACAATTTAACACACTCGCTTAAAAAAATAGTATCAATTTTGCAGAGAGCATTAAATAAACATAGGAATAGGTATTTTTTGAACTTTTTAACAACTTTTGAAAAAAGTTTAATAGTTTAGTATAAAAGTCAGCAAAAATGACAAATCAGTCAAAGGAAAAATAAATTACAACTCGTTTATTATACGGCGATTGATAATTTAGGCAATTAAAGTACTCGCTATGAAAAAATCTAGTAAGTTCCGTAGAACGCATTAAATAAACACAAGTATAGGTATTTGTTTGTATTTTTAACAATTTTTCAAAAAACGTTTGAAAACTTAGTATGGGAATCAGCAAAAAAATGATTTTTTTGAAATCACTTTTGTTGTGATTTTAGAAATTCCTTTGAATAATATGTAGTAAAATTTTTATTGAACAATAATAATTACAACTGTGTAAAAAACCGTGTTTTAAGTCGGAAAATGTAATTTTTTTAAATTTTCAAGCAGGTATTGTTATTCATTTTTATTTTCCTGTTTTAATTTATTTTTTGTGATTTTATTTTTTCTTTGCAAGGTTCATACGTACCGTTATTGTTAGTATTTTCGTAGCTCTTCAGCAGGGCCTGTCTATCGATTTTGCCATTAACCAACAAAGGAATGCTTTCAACTAATATAACTTGCGGGACCATATACGAAGTCAGCTTAGTCCTCAAAATATTCTCGATTTGATTTTCGTTCATCAAAGCGCTGCTTTTGACGAATGCTAAAAGCGCTTGATTCATCTCCCCGGGTTGGTAGCACAGAACAACAGCTTTTTCCACACCTTCGACCCCACTAACCGCCTTTTCGACCTCGGATAGGTCAACTCTGTGACCCCGGATTTTCACCTGGGAGTCGGTTCTTCCTTCGTATAACAAAATCTCGTTTTGCAAACGAGCAAAATCGCCAGTGCGGTACAATTTTGAGAAAATTGGGTCTATGGCGAGCTGATTTTCCAAGAATTTTTCCTTATCGCGGTTATTAACGTATCCGGAAGCCAGGTTTAAACCGCTGACGAAGAGCTCGCCTATTTCACCGGATTTCACAGGACGCAATTCCGGGTCCAACAAATAAATAATTGTGTTATCAACCGGAGCACCTATCGAAAATAAATTTACAACATTTCTTTATTAGTTTGGACGTACCAATGGGAACCGTGAGCAAATTTTTCAGTTGTTGCATCCCTGAAATTATGTAAAAGGTCACATCACCCATGATTTCAGTACTTCCGTAAAAATTGCACAACTTGTAATCATTTTCAGGAAAATACCGGAAAAACTCCTCGGCTAAACTCGTGGTCAAAGTTTCACCGGAACACACCCACAGTTTCAGGTTTTTCAGCAAACTGCGATTTTTCTGAAAAGAAATTTCAGGTCATTTCGACCAAAAATTTTCAGTACCTTTAACTCGAGACACATCAGAATTGATCGTAAAAGTGAGGGTACCAGGACTAGTCTTTCAATCTTGTAATTGTCCAAATTTTTGATAAGTTTTTCCGGATCAAGGGTCACACTTTTGGGGACGATTAAAATCGAAAGTCCGCTTATTAGTGGCCCCCATATTTCGCAAACACTGTCAACAAAAGTAAGGGCCGTTTTGAAAACACAAACTTTTTCAGTTTCAGAAAATGGGAATGTTTTGAATTGCCACTGTAACCGATTGAGGATAATTTTATGCGGGATTCTCACTCCTGAAATCGATTTTAATTTGAATATTAATCACTTTCAGCACTGCTCTCACCTTTGGGAATTCCCGTGCTCCCTGACGTGTACAAAACTATGGCCAGGTCGTCTTTTTGATAAATTTTCTCTTTATCCTCGAGTCTCTTATCACTCTTTCCGTCACTTGCAGTTAACAATTCCTGATAGGACAGCTTTGTCGGGAAATTTTTGCTATCTGATAATAACTGCGTCAGGGAAAATATTCAGGATTTGGGGTGGCTTTACCTTCGTCATAAATAACCATGACAGGTTTAGATTCCTGGATTATGTGGTCAATTCTTGAGGCCGGGAAAGAATGGTCCAGAGGTAAATACGCACAGCCGGATTTCCAAATTGATAACAAAACCAGGATTAAGTGATCAGAAGGGTGCATATTGACGGCGATTATATGATCGCCATCCGAATTCGGTTTCAGGTTTTTCGTTTTGATTGTTTCGCATATAACTCGAGCGAATTTGTTGGTGACTTGGTCGACTTGTGCGTATGATAATTGCCGGATTTGTCCATTTTCTGCAATTTTTTTTTATGAAATTTTGAATTGTCTTGAGGGGAAAATACCTTCGAAGATGAGGGCAATGTTGCTGGCTGCAGGACCGGCTGCAACTTTTTCGAAAATTCGGCCCACTTGGGTGGCCACCAAAGGCCGGGTTGGTCCCTTTAAGATTGACAGTTGGGGAAGGGAACCCATTTTTTTCTGTAACTAATTTGTTATGCAAAAAATTTAATGATTTATTGCAATTAATCAAGGCGAGAATAATCATAGTTTCGATATTTTAAAAAGTAGAAGGTTACTACTTAGACCTTGAGTGGCAATAAAAAATTAGCTTCTATTTTTTTGAGAAAATTATTAAATAGATTTTAATTACTTGTGGAATGTTTTTGTTTGTCATCGCTTGTGTAATGTGATTTTTACATGATTTCCATAACCGCATCTTCTGCTTTTAACATAATTACAGTAATATGCAGCTATAAAATGGATGTTTTCTAATGTGTTTCTTCTGACGCGCTATCCTATATTAAAATGGTTCAAAATTGCTCAAAATTTTTGAATCGTGATATATTTTCAAACATCCTTGTAGAAAACTACGTTTCGACATTAGTATACTAAAAATAACGTCAATACGGTTACACCGGAAATAAGTGTAATAAGTTTAATAAATAACTTGCTTAGTTTTTATAAAAAAAATTAAATACGTCACAAATTGATGGAAATAAAGAACAAAATTTTATGCGTATTAAGTTTTAGAAATGTTTGTTTTGGTAGTGGTGGAGTAGAGCCTTCTTTTTAAGATTTTCAGAATTATTTTTTTTATGAAGAAAAGAATAAAAATAAAGAAAAAAACAATTCAATTAAATATTAAAATCTTATATATCCGGGATGTTATATTTTGCTCCAATTAAGAAACTAGTTTGTTAAATTACTATTGTTAAATTATTTATTAATATTGTTATTTTTAAATTTTTATTTGTTTGTGGAATGTTTTTATTTTTTATCTTTTGTGTAAAAGCTTTTTACATAATAATTTTCATAACCCCACCTTTATATCCTTTGCTTTTAACATAATTATAGTAATTTGGAATCATTTATGTGCAAAGTTTGCAAAAAATGTGACACAAACTGTTTTTATTACTTTTTTGTTTATTCTCTACAATGTTAATAAAATGTGAGAAACAAACAATTTTATTAAAACTTAAAACATAATTTAGTAAATCAGGACAAAAAATACACGGGGTGAGTCTGCAAAAATTTTCAGGTAGGTACTTCTGACATTTTCTACGATTTTTAAACAAACCCTTTTTCCTGTTGGTGTTTTATCACAAAGGGAAAATTTTATTTTCTTTATAGTTTTACAAAAACGTGTAAATCTCTCTAAATATATTTTTAATTTATTAAACAATGACTGTTTTCAGTAGGTATGTATTAATATTTTTCAAAAAATTTTTTTTCACTATTTTTTAACGTTGCTTGGAATGAGATTTTTACACCATACATAATGAAAAAAGTTGTACCTTTCGGGCCCCTCATAAATAAATCTTTGAGTTCTTTCGTGTTTTTTTGGAGACGAAACTACAAACCCGGCATCCCAAGGTCAAAAATACAACATCTTATATAAAAAAATTGATTCAAATGAAATTTGAAAAATATTTGTGTGTGGCTGTTTTAAGAGTTAATTCCACTTTATGAAGGTCTCAGATCTCGGATAAAAATCGCTCAATCCATAGAAATTGATCAAATGTAATTATTTACACTTGGGTGTAATTACTAATTAATTTACGACTGTTAGTAGCATGATTACCATAGAAAAATAGTCAAGTCGGGTCGTAAATCGTAAATACCTCTCCGTAATTAAACTTATCTGACACAGAAAATGACGGAAAAAAAATCGAAGCGACAACTTATCACTCTAATTAAATTTTTGTCAAATTCCACACTAATTACACGTCTACAAATCATTGTCTTTCGTTCGAAAAGGGCAATAATTAAATTTCGCCACCTTTATCTAAGCCATCAATAAGCGGCGAAATTTTGATATCAAACACATTATAATTCATTTCACGACGGCACGGCAATAAAAAACACATTTCTGGATCGATTGCGATTTAATAGCAAATAAAAGTGGAGTGACATTTTGCCATTTTGTGAAATGGGCCAAACACAAAGAGTTTATTGCTGGATTAAAGGAATTGTTGAAAAACTAAATGGAATTATTAATTGTGTAACATTTCCTAAGGGTGTTTACCTTGACTCGAAATAAATAGAAATATTTGTTTTTAAATTAAAAATTCTGTGTAATACTCGGTGTAATAGAATAGAATGCAAATGCAACGGCCTTTACCTAGATTTAGAAATTATTTTTATTGGGGAATAATTTTGTAAATAAATACCTCTTTGGTCACGGTGTAGTATCCAAGACTGGTTTAACACAAGAACAAGATGACCGTTGGTTTAAAAGGTAACTAAAAGCGCGGCTTGCCATGTGCAAAATATATAAACACAAGTTGAAAGGTCCCTGTGATAAAAAGAGATGGTTATTGTTTAAATGACTTAGAGTGGGGACTAATTTTAATTTTGAATAAACCGTGTAGTCCCCCTCTTGAGTAAAAACCCACACCGAGATATTACGACTTCTGTTGTACTCATTCACTTATTGGAAGTTGCATTCGAGGGACAATCTTCCGGTTTTTGACCCAGGAAAATCCATTTTTTGCCACAATGCAATAATTGAAACATTGCGCTTTATTGGAATTAGGTCCAGGATAAATGGCAATTGAGGAGAAGGATTTATGAAGGGATGTTGCCTCGTGAGCGATGACTCGATAATTTGACTATTCGAGCTGTTTCAAAATTGTCGATAAGATTGATGGGACGAGACATTGCCGCTTTATCACAACGATTTTCAATTCCGATGCGAGTTTCGAGGCCGAACCTCGCTCCATCTGATTACGGAGCGTTCAAAATTTGCAAAAAGGTTCCTTGACCGCCTGATTAACAGCCTATTCAAGAGCTTGGAAAGGGGGAAGGATTTTCAGGCAGTGGCGACTCGTCAACAAATCATTGCTAAATATAATTTTTTGTTTTAAGACAAAAAAAAAAAACACAGGGCAAAAAATCCCAAATATATGCTGAAAAGTCTCTACGATGTATGTATCTTGTGATTTGTAGAATAAATAAAATTTTGCAAATTATTAACAATTTAAATTGCTTTAAACTTTTTATAAATTCGCATTTAAAATATGTTTTGTTCATGTTGAATTTTTTGAAAAATTCTAGCAAACGAAATATGACCTTGAAGAGGCCAAATCGGGGATCAAAAACAAAAAATACGGGCCATCTATTCAAAAAAATGGTTTCAAGACTTTTTCTTTTGATAATTATTTTTTTTAATTTTTTTCATTTAAAATACTTTTGCCACTCAATTTTTTTTTAAAGAAATGACAACACATCGTTGTCCAGATATAATGCAATTTTTATAGGTGGTAATGCATTATACCGGATGAACAGAAAGCAAGGAACCAAGCGTTTTTTGCATAAATTAATTATTTTACGAAAAAAATAATTAGTGTAGTGTAGTGTTACCCTCTATAAGAATGTGATTGTTTTTCAAAAATAAATTGTTTCGAAATTCCTTTTAGTTTTTTGAACTATTGACATTTTTTTTAATTAAAAACTATGATCTGAAAATGACCTCTAGTTAAATAAAATTGTTTTTTATTGAGAAGTTTTTTTTTTTTAATAAATTGTTAAAATTTCCTTCCGAGCTCACGAAGACTTTTTGTAGTCGCTTCATGCATTTGGACGTAGGAGACTACAATTTATTTTAAAAAATACTGGTTGAAAACATTTTTTTTTTAATTAGAGGTCATTTTTAGATCATAATCTTTAATTAAAAAATTGTCATGGTGGGCTGCTATTTAATTTTTTTTTGCAAAACTCGGAAACTAAAAGGAATTTTGCTAAATTTTATTTTATAAAAACGACTTTTATAGTACACTTTAAACAGCACTAATAATTTTTTTTCATAAAGTAATTAGTTTATGCAAAGAACGCTTGATTCCATACTTTTTATTCACCCGATATATTCACAAATAAGTAATATTTTACACTTATTTTTTTATTTATTTGCAACGAAATAAGTTCGTATTTTTTAAATTTTTCATGAAATTCCACTTCCTAAACGAAAAATCAACTGAAAATTATTAATTTGTATTACAACCTACTACCTACCTCTTGTACAACCTACTATTTTAGAAATTTTAAGCAATTTTTAGGAATATTTTTCATCAATACTTATATAGTTCTATATTTTTTATACTTTTAAAGCCTTTGGTAAATTTTAAAAATTATCTTGGATTAGTAAATTTACTTAAAATCAAGTAAAAAATGCAAATTTGTCTTGAAAACTTTTTAAACACATAACAGCATATGAAAAATTTATTTTATTTTTATTAAATCATTTAAACGTCTTTAATATCGAAACTAGAAGTTAAAACTATATCGTGCTGAGTATGTCAGCGGTCCTGACAGAAAATACAAAATTTTGGGTAGTGTAATAAAAAAAATAACATAAAAAAATGTAATCTACTTTAGTAAAAGAGTTAATCCGGAATTCACATAAATAACTATTTTTAAAATATAAAACCAAATTTGAATCTAAAATGTCTTTACGACGTATAATTTTTGTCTCAAGTTTATACATGTTTGGCTTGAAAAGTCTTGATTTAAAAAAAACATTAGAGAATTATAAAAAATGTCAATTGAGACTTTTCAAAAAATATGTGTTTTATTGTTTTGGTTATTTGCTTATGCCAGAATTTCTATTTTCCTGACAAATATTAGCGAATGGTCTTGTTACACAATTGACTGATTTCTCAATTGCCTCCCATCCAAGGTAAATTGCGAGAAATCCATTCGCACAAACGTTCGCCATGAATTTATAATTATTAATAACTCTCATAACTTTAAATTTAGTTAAATAAGGAAGTGGAAAATTGCAAATAATTAACTAATGTCGTCCTGTTTTAATTTAATTAACGAAATAATAGCGCAATCAGTGGGCCCTCTCCGATGCACTTCTAAATCTTGACCTGGTTAATTGCTCATTTCAGAATATTTGACTCGCTTGTTGTTTGCATCAAGGCTGAGCCAGAAATGTGAGGGACGGCTTATAATTGCCACGTTAAAACGCGCGTACACACAAGGTGACTTATTAATCTACACCTGAAACAAGAGCATTAAGAGCCAATGAACCCATTTAAGGACAAACAACCACGAAAATCAATGTAATTATTTCAATGAAATTCAATCGGCTTGACGAAAGGAAAAGCAAACAAATTAAAGCGAAATTATAAATCAGAATGGTAATTGGGCTCTGGAAACAGGACACTTGGTGTTATTTCAAGACGAGGGGACTGGAAATATTGATAAAATGCAAAGAAATCATTGTTTACATAATTTGCGATGACCTTTGAGGCGGGATTTCCTACTCCAGTAGCTCATATTTTTCTCCCGTTTAATTTACATTTTACTGCGTTTAACATGAGCTACTACTATTACAACGTTTCCATCAACGCCAATTTTCTCTCTCGAGAGAGCTCGGCTTAGTTGAAACAAGATTCTCCAGTAAGTAGATTTTCCTAAATCAAAAGTCAGGAAAATGACCCAATAATTCGGCGTTTATACGATATTTGACTTGATTTTATTGTGACCATAAAAACATTCGAATGCTATTTTTTGAATAAAAATATACACGACATTGTGTGGTGTAATTATTGAGGTAGCCTTGCTGTTTCTCAACGCTTACTATTAATTTCTGTTAATTATTGTTGATAAGAACAAATTTGTTTCCGGGATCAGTTTCCGACTAACTAATTGCCTATTTCAGAATTGAAAATTTTTATTAAAATGCAATTTCTGATTCTATAAAATATGATAGATAAGATCGATAAAGAATGCTTTGTTATCGTCTTTATGACTTTACGGGAATTTATCCTTTACATTAGATATTTATTACAGCATCGAGCTTACAAAAGCTCACCCTCTATTTCTCATTTAGATAAAAATCAGGTGCAGTTATAATGGAACAGAAGGTATGCACTGTGACAATAGATAAGAAACTGTCACCATATTTCATCAAAATTGATTATTTCTGAGAAGTTATTTATTTAATCTAAATTTTTAAATATTCGGGAGTGGGGAAAAACCGGCGGCAAAACCCACGAAATAGAAGTTTATTAAATTTGTATACAAGATTATCATTGCTATTCTACTCGTTCCTACAATACAAGGTGTTAAAAACAGATTGTAAAATATTTAAGGAGGATCAAAATAAACAAAAAAAATTTAATTAACATGGAAATATCTAATGTAAAAAATTTTGGAATTTTTACTAGTAGCTTCTCTTTTTGTGCAAAATTTAAACACAGACAGAATTTTTCTATTTTCCTGATAACTTACTTACCTTACATGGCATATGGGAACGAGTTCTGAAACACCCTGTATAATCATCGCTAATAAATCATTACATTAAAATCGAAAAAACAGCTAATTTTTTTTTATAAGAAAGAACCAATTTTACTTCAAAATGTTACAAAATTGCATTCATTTGAATTAAAAATTTTGAGTTAATATGCCTAAAAATTATAAATATAATAAATAAAAAATCAGAGAGAATTTAAATAAATCCAAAGAGGAACTAATGACATTTACCTTACCTTGACTTCATTGCTTATGTTAATTAAAACTACAATACAAATTTAACTAATTTATATTTATTATTTGCAGATTTATTTAGGAGTGCAAAAATGTTTGTATTTGTATCTTCATCATGTACCAGCTTAATTAATTTCAACCAAGGTCGCAAGGCAACAAAAAAAGTTAATTAACGTCAATTCATCGACTACATTACAATCAATCTGAAATCTCTAATTTAGCAAAACTAATGAATTTTTTTTCAATTTTTCTGCTTGATTGCTTCGACATCCACAAACGATGACGATGATGTCTAGACCGTCGGTGGAAATACTTGTGTTTATGTCTTGGCAATAATCTAATAAAATATATGTGCATTAGATATTATCGTCTTATTCAACTTTGGCTTAACCAGTGCTTCCCAACTTGTTTATAATCCCAATAAACGAGCGCAAACACCAATATTTTTTATTGCAAATGCTTATGAATTATTTATAGTCCACTATAACATGGATAAAAGCCTGAAGAAACGTTTCAATTATTCACAAAATAAACGTGACGATCTAAGAAAATTGCAATGAATAAGTAATTCTAATATGCTCGCAACGTTCCATTTAATAATTTAAATAATCTCTTAACAAAGCTGATTAGACTAAAATACATCCGTTTCTACTCGAGATGTCTTTATATCTATACCAAACAACATATCTACACTCAACGACATTAGAAATGCAACAATTTTTCCATCTTTTCTTTTTAATTTCAGAAAAAAAATTAATACACTCGAAGGTGGTTATTGTTTATAGTTTGAAAGA